CTTTTTCTATTCTTGATTCTGGTAGCCTCTCTTGGGGTTTTAAGTCCATAGGGTCCCCCTTCGGGAATTTGATTTCTGTCGTCCTCCAATTTACCCAGGGGTTCCATTTTTTCAACCATTCCATCCCTAGAATCATTGGGCATTCCATACCTGGGGTCACCACAAACGTTAAGTCCTCTTCATGGTTGCCCAGGGAGAGGTGTATTGGCAGAGTGGCTAGGGTAGCTGGCACCCCCCCTGCTATGGATCCATCTAGCTGGCCAAATGAGATTGGTTGTTCCAGTCTCCTGGATGGGATGCCCAGATTCCCCACTAGTGTTGGGCTAATGAGGCAGCGGGTGCAGCCAGAGTCTATTAAGGCTTTCACCTTCACAGCTTCGGGCATGGGGGGGATTAATATAGTCACTGTTTTGAAGATGGGTGTGATGCGTCCACTTACCAGGGGTTCGCCTTCCGAGCTGTCATCTGAGGCATCCACCGTCCCTGTGGTGTAGGCTGGAGTTCTTTCCCCTTGGTGAGCAGAGGTGGGGTTTTCTGCAATTTCCATCATTTTCATGGCTGTTTCTTTTGGCTTAGCTGAATACCCTCTGGGTTTGTTGATTGGGGATCTGTCTGGGTTGTGCTGGGGGGCCTTTGAGCGGCATTCTACAGCTCGATGCCCTTCTCTTCCGCACTTGAAACACCCCATCTGCTTCTTGGCTGTATCCGATGATTTCACCGGTTGGTGTGTCAGCTCAGGCGGGGGGCGGCTCCATTGTTTTCCTCGGCGATGCCTCTTCAATATGTCGATCTCTGCTTCCTCTGCCAAGACGTACCATTCCTCAAGTCGATGTGGGTCTCCTCGGGGCAGGCAAGCATCATATAGATCATAGTTTAGTCCGTCTTTGAAACGGCCAAGGAGGATGTCTTCTGGCCAATTCAGTTTGCTGGCAATGGCTCGGAATTCTTGTGTATACTCAGCCACTGGGCGTTTGCCCTGCCTCATCGTTGTTATTCTTTCACGGGCTTTGCGATCAGCCAGGGGGTCTTCAAATCGTCTTCTCAACGAGGACATGAAACGGTTGAAGTTACTGAGTTCTGGGGCATTGGAGTCATGCAGGTTCACCACCCAATCTGCAGCTGGTCCATCCAGGGCAGATTGCACGATCCGGATGCGGGCTTTGTCGCTGGGGATGTCCTGCCCATATTCCTCCATGTAGCTGAGGACTTGGGTTAGGAAAAACCCCAAGCGTGTTGGCTCCCCTTTGAATTTCACCTCCAACGGTGGACGTCTTGGAATGGATCGGTGCCTCCATTGTGGGTGGTAGTGTCTTCCGTCCAGATTTCCATCTGTGGTCCGGTAGGGGGTGGGAGCTCCTGGATCAGTAAATGTCCCTGGGGTTGCAGGTTCCACGTCCCCCTCGGTGTCTCTCCCTTTGTGGCTCCAGGAACTGGGGCGGGCGTAGGGCTCAGGAATCTCCTCTCCTAGGGAGCTGAGAGTTCTCTTCATCAGGTCAATAGCTCTCTCTAGGATCCAGTCTGAGTACGGCATACAGCTTCCTCCCTCTTCACTTGCGTGCAGGGATTTCTCCATCTCCTGCTTCCATTCTGGTTGCTTGGTCCCCCGTCTCAGGGTCACTTTTCTTGATTCCTTTCCCCACTCGCTTTTCTTTCCAACGCCCATCGACCAGCGAGGCTTGTGGTCCTGTGTCTCCACCACTTCTTCTTCTGAGAAATCTGGCCTCTCGGATCCCAACATCTGGCAAGGTTCCAACTGGGTCAGCGGCTCTCTTTCCAGGGAGTTTTCTCCCTCTCTTGCTTCGTTGTCTGACATGGTAAATTTTTGCAAAATCCCCCGGCAAGGGTCTACCTTCCAGGTGGATTAATTTTGCAAGTCCTGTCTAATGTAAGGACCCACCCCACTTTGCATCTTAAGAAGACAGAACTCTTGGAATAGTTCTTCCAACAGGAATCCTTTATTAAGAGAAAATGGTTGCAGGCATGCTAGACAGGACTTGGGGTCCAAGCTCTCCCATTCAAGGTTTTAAGGGGTTCCCCAGTAGTCCCACCCAATCAACCCCCCTTCCAGTGATAGTTTCAAGTATCACAATTCCACCTCCTTTCTTCTTTCTTCCGTCTGGATGGAGACTTCAGATACTACATGAAAGGCAATTACCCTTCTTTGATATGTTAACGCTTAGAGGTTACAATAAACACACATTCAGCTCTTTGAAGTGTAAAGAAGGAAGTGAGGGCCATAAAGCCCCTTTGCTCTCCCCCTTCTCTCCCTCTTATGGCAGAATCCAGAGAAGGCAGAATTGGGAGTTTCTATATTTGATAATTTAAAGATGAAATATAATTGGATTCTGACATTGTGTTTACATGAAGGTTGGATGGCCGTAAATGCATGCTGGTTGCCAAGTGCCCAAAATGCAGTCATGTGACCATGGGGGTGGGGCCTTTGGAACTTTGGAATAAAGTACCTTTTAGGGGGTCCATTGTAACTGAGTGGCTGCTAAGTAACCTGTCATAAGTCGAAGATTACCTATAAATAGGCTGCTAACCTTGATGATGAACACTGAGGGATGGCAGGGACTCAATAATGCCACCACCAAAAGTAGATTGAAATTTTCCACTCTTGATGGTGTTGAAGGAAAAGTCTTCATCATGGTTCAGTCCAAGCCGGGAATAAATAACATGGTGACTGCTTTAGAAAGAAGGTTGCAGTTTATTGAAGAGGAGAGCCAGACAGAAAGATGGCTCTGGAAGAAAAGAGCGAGAGCACATGTAGGGAGTGGGTTTTTATACCCTCTGGAGCCTTTTGCTTGGAGTTGTTTCCTGTTCCTGTTTGAGGCTATTTCCTCTGTCATGTATTCTGACCTGAATCTGGGTGTGCCCTTTGGCATCTGTGGGTTAATCCTATTATGTCCTGTCTTAGAGTTTGGGTGGGGTATGTAGATTTTAGGTGTCTGTCTTCCTAAGCTTCTAGCTGGGGGCCTCTCACCTTCCTGGATTATTTACATCTGCATTTCTACAGAGCTGGCTTCTACTTGGGGGAGAGAGACTTGGGGCTATTAAGAAAAACTGGGCATGCATTTCTGCCTCTTTTAAGACTCTTTGAGGAAACATAATATTCTCCCTTTTTAATATTTCCTTCTGGGGGGTAGACATTTGGGTGAAGTTTTACCAACGAGAGTCCTATGTGGGGGAGGGACTTTGGGACCCAAATTTATAGGTAGTCCTCAACTTACAGCCACAACTGAGCCCAAAGTTTCTGTTGCTAAGGGAGACAATGGTTAAGTGAGTTTTGCCCCATTTTACTGCCTTCCTTGCCGCAGTTGCTAAGTGAATCACTGCAGTTGTTAAGTTAGCAACATGGCTATTAAATGAATTTGGCTTCCCCCTTGACTTTACTTGTCAGAAGGACGCAAAAGGTGATCATGTGACCCCCAGGACATTGCAACCGTTGTAAATATAGGCCAGTTGCCAAGCGTCCACATTTTGATCATGTGACCATCAGGGATGCTGCAATGGTCTATGTGTGAAAAATGGTCCTAAGTCCCTAATTTCAGTCCTGTTGTAACTTTGAATGGCCGTTAAATGAATGGTTGTAAGTCGAGGATTACCTTAAAACAGTGGTTCTCAACCTTTCTAATGCCGCGACCCCATAATACAGTTCCCCATGTTGTGGTGACCCCCAACCACTTATACATCACCGGGTGCCAGGGGTGTGGCCAAAGAAAAGGGGGGAAAAATGGCGGGCAGCCTTGTTTGGTGACCCCCGTGAAATGGTCGTTCGACCCCAAATGGGGTCCCGACCCACAGGCTGAGAACCACTGCCTTAAAAGATCCACATATATGCTGCAGATCTTAGGACTGGAAAGGCCTAACTACCTGATAGAAGTAAAGGAAAGATCTTCAAAATTTAATATTGAAAGAGAAATTTAAAATTGAATTTGCTGCAGTGGAAACTTACCAAAAACTATAATGGCTGGGAAACAGGAAAGGATAGCATAAAGGCAGGATTTAAGATAAATACATAGGCAAAAATTAGCTGGGTCTTAGAGTGGGAAAGGAAGAAGACAAGCTATAAAAACATCTTTAAGAGGAAATAGCTAGCCAGAAAAACTTAACTAAACTGAAAAACAGGAAAGAAACTATTGTTCTAAGGGGCCCAGAACTCAAAACCAACCATTGAATATGTCTAATATTTTATATTATTAATGTACATGTGATGTATGATTTAGTACAGTGGTGGCGAACCTATGGCATGCGTGCCAGAGGTGGCACTCGGAGCCCTCTCTGTGGGCACACATGCCGTTGCCCCAGCCTCGCCTCCCACTGCGACCACCTCCTCACCAGCAGCCCCCCTGGAGGAGAGTCGCCCCCGAGCGTGGCCCATGTGGAGCAGTGCAGCCAAGGACATGGCAGCCAGGCAGCGTAGACAAGACTCTGCCCTCATGCCCCACCCCGCACAGTTGATGCTATGGGGCGCGGGCAGAGGGTGTGGCCGCCATGGCACTGCTGGGCTGCCTGGGTGATCTGCGGTGGGCCTTGTAGGCGGTGTGTGGCCCTGCAGGCAGGCAGGGTGGGGGACAGGATGGGGGCAGGGGCAGGGCAGGGGGTGGAGTGGAGGAGGGGCCAGTTTTGGGGCATTCGGTCTCTAAAAGGTTCGCCATCACTGATTTAGTATGTAGCAGGAAATAGGCAGGAGGCGGTCGGAAAGAGTGTAACCTCATAGTACCTCAGCCAATGGGGAAAGAAGAGGGATGTGGCGGCCAGGACAGGGCTGTATATAGAAGGGAATATTTGGGGTTGAAACCTTGGAGAGAACCAAGCTTTGATAGCTTCTCTCCCCGCTTATTGCAATAAACGAAACAAAAGGACTTCACTGTGTCTTGGCTGGTTATTGGTCAGGCGAGCTTGCCTCTGGTCACGAAGGAAAGTGGCCAGGAGCACATAACATAACCGATCACCCTTTCCTGATGCTCTCCCCTGCTTTTCCTCCTGATCTCTTCCAGGCAAAGTCTTCTTCCTCAAAACCTACCGCAAGCTCAGCTTCCCCGAAGCCGTCCTGGCCTGCAAGCAAAACGGAGGTACGGTGGCCAAAGTGGGCCAACTTTATGCTGCCTGGAAGATCCAGCTCCTGGACAAATGCGAAGCTGGCTGGGTTGGGGACGGAAGTGTCCGCTACCCCATCGTCAATCCCCGGTCTCGCTGCGGGGGCCGGGAACCCGGCGTTCGCAACCTGGGCTTCCCTGACAAGAAATACAAACTCTTTGGGGTCTATTGCTACAAAGAGGCCGGCGGGGAGAAGTCCCCGAAAAAGGACAAGGATGCTCCAGGGAGATGGAAAGCTTTCCATGTATAAAGAGAAATGTTGGAGCCAAGAGCTCACTGCCTCCGTTTTATTTGCTGTTCAAGCTTCAGAGATGAGATTTGTCCCCATCTCTTCTTGGGGGAATTGTTATTTGTGTCCCAAAAAATTTTAAGAGGTTGGTTGCGTAGTCCTCAACCGAAATGGAAGGACTTCCGCTTTCCCAGCAATTCAGCTGGATTGTCCAAAATTTCTGGAAACCATGGAAGATCTGGCATGTGTTGCATTACTGCCTGGCTGGAGCTGACCCCGCTGATCCTTGCCTGCTCATCTGAATCTTCTTCAGCATCTTGGAAGAAGAAAAGTGTTGCTTTTAGCCTTTTGCATTTGCTGCTACGTCACTGATGATGCTACTTGGGTGGGGTAGAGGGAGACCCCGGGTTACTTGGAGCAGAGTGGATTGGGGAAGGGCCGCGTTTTGCAACTTGTTTGCCGTACCCTTAGCCATGTTTTTGGAGTGACTGAGAATTCTCTGGGGGTTTTTTTTGCACGATCTGGAGGGCTGTGATGTCCCAAAAATGTGTTGAAAAATCCAGAAAATGAGGACCACTTTCTCCTCTTCAGCAACCTCCCTGACTGTTCTCATCCTGAAGGCCTTGACTGGAGCAGAGAAGCCAGAGTCTCTCCTTTGCTCTCCTCCAAGTTTTCCGTTGTCTTGCTTTCTCATGTCGCAACCAACTCCTGGTTGAAAGCCCTCCAGCCTGTCCTGTTTCTGGCCACAAAGCTGAAATATAGCAAACTTGAGCTGGATCTCCCATCAGCCAGTGGTTGTGGAACCGGACCATAAAGATTTGGTCCCCTCCATCGGTATGTTTGCTTTGCCTGCATTAATTCTGCAAGCCATCCTGTACTCAGATGATGCTCTGTTCCTGGTGAATAAAACCTGTGCTTAAATGTGTTGGGATGCGGATGGATTTTGGATCTAAATGGCAGCCCTCACACCGGGTTTGCGGCTAAAAGATGAGCAGACACAAAAGGATTGAATTGATTCAATCCAATCACGGTTTAGAGCAGAGGGACAAAACTGGGAGGGCTGAGTCAGGCTCACGGTACCAATATGGGCTTTAAAGATCCAGATCAGTGTTTCTCAACTTTGGCAAACTTAAAGATGTGGCGTCTTTGATGCTCTCTGAACTTGGCTGTTTGCTTGCAAGAGTTTGGAAGCACTGCAAGCAAACTAGGGAACATCACAGTGCAACTGTGTTTATACAGGTATTCTTTGATTTATAACCACAATCAGGATTGGAAAAGTCATTGTTAACCAGTTACGTGAGGCATCATGTAATGGTACCTGATTTGACCACCTTTTTGCTGTAAGTGAATTCATTAAGTGAATCACCATCATTATTATTAATAATAATAATAAAGTTGGAAGGGACCTTGGAGGTCATCTAGTCCAACCTCCTGCTCAGGCAGGAAACCCTATACCATTTCGGACAAATGGCTGTCCAGTCTCTTCTTAAAAACTTCCAGTGTTGGAGTATTTACTGCTTCTGGAGGCAGGTTGTTCCACTGGTTAATTGTTCTAACTCTCAGGAAGTTTCTCCTTAGTTCTAGGTTGCTTCTCTCCGTGGTTAGTTTCCATCCGTTGCTTCTTGTCCTGTCTTCAGGTTCTTTGGAGAATAGCTTGACTCCCTTTTCTTTGTGGCAGCCCCTGAGATATTGGAACACTGCTATCCTGTCCCCCCTCGTCCTTCTCTTCGTTAAACTAGACATACCCAATTCCAGCAACTTATATGTTTTAGCCTCCAGTCCCCTAATCATCTTTCTTGCTCTTCTCTGCACTCTTTCTAGAGTTTCAACATCTTTTTTACATTGTAGTGATCAAAACTGGATGCAGTATTCCAAGTGTGGCCTCACGAAGGCATTGTAAAGTGGTATCAATACTTCATATGATCTTGATTCTATCCCTCTGTTAATGCAGCCTAGCACTTTTTTGGCAGCTGCAGCACACAGCTGGCTGCTATTTCAGTGATTGTTAAGTGAAACATCCTGTAACTGTGTCTTGTGGCCTTCCCTGCTGGCTTCTCCCATTGACTTTGCTTGTTGGAAGCCAACTGAGAAGGTCAAACACAGCAGTCATGGGATCCTGCAACCATCATAAATGCGAGCTGGTTGCCAAGCACCTGGATTGTGGCCATGTCCCTGCAGGGGCGCTGCAACAGACGTAAGTATGAGGACCATCTGTTTTATCTTTGACTGGTCACTAAATGAATGGTTTTAAGTTGAGGACTACCTTATGCAATGGATGACAGAAGACATGAGAAAAACTCACTCCTTCCTCATCTTCAAGAAACACACACAGAAACGATCTTTCTTTGAAAGATATTTATTATTAGGTTTCTGTCCCCACCTTTATGTTGTACACATCAAGGCTGCCTAGCCAATGCTGTCTCTTTGGATTTTCTCCACAACAACCTTGTAGAATGGCCTAGCCCAGGGGTAGGCAACCTCGGCTCTTTTATGACTCATGGACTTCAATTGCCAGAATTTCTGAGCCAGCTATGCTGGCTCAGGAATTCTGGGAGTTGAAGTCCATGAGTCATAAAAGAGCCGAGGTTGCCTACCCCTGGCCTAGCCAAAGTCTTTCATTCTAAGGCGGGACTAGAACTCACTGTCTCCCGGTGATTGGCCCAACGTCATCTTGTCAGCTTCCATACCTGAGGGAGAATCAGAACTCAGGATCTCCTGGTTTTTTTCTAGAGCAGATGCTATCTCGGAATCAGCTCTAAAAGGAATAAATATGAATGTAGAGAACTGAATGAAAAGGAACTTTGCCTGTATTGCCTATTTATTGTCACTGCTATTTCAGATTTCTACAGATAATATCTCTCTTTATATATATTCTGAAGGGGTATTTGCTTCTGTAATTACTTAATTGCTTCTAAGAACAGAAAAAGCAGTTTATAATGTACATTAGAAAGAGACTAATACTAGCATTCATTAAGTAAAAGCGCTGAAATCCTTAAGGTTCTTGAGGACTAGAGCCTTGCTTTAGGAAAAAAGAAAACAGACGTTTTTCAATTGATCGATGAAGCCAATGCCAGACTTTCAAGACTTTTTCCTTTTTAATATTGTGTTCTTTTTTATTTTTATTGTTCTCTCTCTTCCGGAAAAAGAAGAAGGCAGTTGACACCAAGATCTGAAGACCAGTAATTGCTAAATTTCTTCAAGCAGTTGAACTGATTTACCTTAAGATCAATCACTTTTTGGAGTCTAAAAGCTATCAATTTCTGGAAATCCAACAACTAAACCTTAAAGGGTAACATTCTCACTGTATTGGCTAGTCCAATCTTGGCCCTTATGCAGCAGAATTTTAATAAACATGCAACCTCAATTAAAACGATTGCAAAACAAAAACAAGGGCGATGGATCTATTAATGGTCTGTATTCAGGGGAGATTTTTCTATTTTTTTTTATTGTGGCTGGAAAAATAGGCTGCTGTCACATTCGAAAGGTTGGCAAGATTTATCCCAGGTGCTGGAGCAGCTGAGTATGTTTTATGCAGGCTCATAGCGGGCGAGTTCATTAATGCATCCGAAAAGCTGCTTTCTGCTTGGAGGATGCTGCAGCATAATGAGCACATCCTGGTTAACAGCTGTCCATATAAAACATCCAGCAACCTCTTTGACAGCTTGGCATCATTAGCAGACTTCGCTGAAGAAGACCCTGGAAAGTTAACTGACCTCTAGAAGAGGCAGGAAGCAGAGCTGATCTTGGCCTAAGTTGGCTTGGAAGACAGATTCCCTCTCTTTCCCTCTGCCTCATTCCCTCTCTTTTGTCCCTTCCTTATCTCTTCACCTCCTTCTGTGTCCCTCCTGCACACTCTCTCCCTTTCTGCCTCCTCCTCCTCTCTCCCTTTTCTTTCCTCTCTCCATGTTATTCTCTCCCTCTCTTCCTTTTCTTCTTTCTCCTCTCCCCCTTTCCTTCCCTCTTTCTGTTTCCCTCCCTCTCGCTTCCTTTTTTCTTCTCTCCTATCCTCTCCCCATTGTGCTCTTCCTTTTCTTCTTTCTCTATCCCTCTGTGTTCTTTTTTCTTCTTCCTCTCTCCCTCCCTCCTTCTTTCCATAGCTCGTTTCCCTTTCTTTCCTCTCTCTTGCTTCCCTGTTTCCCTCCCTCCCTTTTCTTCTTCATCTTTCCCTCCTTCCCCTTTCTTACCTTCCCCTTCTTTCTGTTGGAAACTGTGTCATATTTTTGAGTCTATAAGGTCTATCTGACCACACATTGGGCAAATGGCCACAAGCAGAGAAGGAGAAGGGTTTTCACGGGCTCCCCCTCCCTGTGTCTGTTTCTCACCTGCATTGTTGTTAATCCATCTCTGGCTTTAAGGCACAAAGGGGGTAATCTCTCTCCAGCCTCCCCTTTCCGTTCTTGTTACTCGAGTTCTCCCAAATACAATCAGTTTCTGAGCACTTGCTTCTTGATTAGAGATTCCAGGAATGTTTTTAACAAGTTCCACAGTTTTTTTTAAAAAAAAGGTTGAAACCCCATGATCTATATTATCAAACAAACCCAGAATGAGTCTGGTTGCACCTTTTCCAACTAACACATTTTATTACAGCATGCAGCTCAGAAAAGCTTATGCTTTTTAATAAAACGTGTTGGGAAAGACATTTGCAGCCTCTATTAACCTTCAAGCAGTACACTAAATTATTCTATTCTAGTATGCCTGTGTGAACATCCACCTGTTCAGCTCCTTCCGTGAAATGAAACGGAGCAGCTGAGAACAGGGAAAAACCTGGGGCCAGGTATGCATCAACTGCCCCCCAGATTTGCTAACCAGAATGCCTGTTTTCCTCACATTTTCCTCAATTCGGTGACTTCTTCATGGCAATAAGACTCCAAACCTGATTAGTCCCAGCAACAGTCATAGAATGGTAGTATCATGGGATTGGAAGGGATCTTAGAGGTCTTCTAGTCCAACCCCCTGCCCTGGGAGGAATACAAAGAAATGCCTGCTGAATTTATGCTTGAAAACCTCCAGTGATGCAGTTTCCATGATTCCAAGAGGCAGATTGTCCTCTGCTTCATAGTTCTCGTGGTCAGGAAATCCTTCCTTATTGATTAGGACAGTGGTTCTCAATCTGTGGGTCGGGACCCATTTGGGGTCGAACGACCATTTCACGGGGGTCGCCAAACAACGCAGTCCGCCATTCTCCCCCCCTTTTGCTTAGCTGTGCTACTCCCTTTTATTCTATTTTGCTTTTGAAAGCCAATAGAATAGACTCTCTTGAATAGAGTCTAATTCTATTGGCTTTCAAAAGCCAATAGGAATTGTCCAGGCTGTCTCTGCCCTGCTGAGCCAGCCAAAAGTCCCATTCTGCAAACGGTGCTGCACCAGTTGAGTAGTCCTCGACTTACGACCGGTTGAGTAGTCCTCGACTTATGACCGGTTGGGGGTCGCGGCATTAAAAAGGTTGAGAACCACTGGATTAGGAGTTTGGATTATCCCTCTATCAAGCTTCCATCTATTAGTTCTTAAGTTACCCGTGGACACTGAGAATAATTCCAGTTCCTCAGTATCCTTCTTGTATTATAGTGACTAAATCTGGACTCTGTTCAAGATTATACCACTGTTGATGCAGCCCAGGATTGCACTGGCCCTTTGGGCAGTTGCAGCTGCTGGCTCATGCTTTAATCTGTCAAGGACAATGTCTCCATAATAAAAACAGTCTTGAGGATCTAGGGTGCAGAAGGCTCTCCTGTTGTTGTTGTTCAGTTGCTAAGTCATGTCCAACTTTTTGCAACCCCATGGACCATAGCACACCAAACCCTCTCCCCAGTCTTCCACTGTCTGCCGAAACTGATGCCTGCCGCATCAATAACATTATCTAACCAGCTCACCCTCTGCCGTCCCCTTCTCATTTTGCCATCTATCTTTCCCAACATAAATCCTTTTCCAGTGAGTCCTCTCTTCTCATTTGGTGGCCAAAATAGTTGAGCTTCAGCTTCAGTTATCTGTCCTTCGAAAGAACAGTTCTTTTAGGATTGACTGGTTTGATCTCCTTGCAGCTCAAGGGACACTTGAGAGTCTTCTCCAGCACCACAACTCGAAAGCATCAATTCTTCCTTTATGGTCCAACTCTCACAGTCCTACATTACTACTGGGAAAACCATAGCTTTGACTTCCTGAGAAAAGTGATGTCTCTGCTTTTTAATATGCTGCCTAGGTTTGTCACTGTTTTCCTCCCAAGGAGCAAGCATTTTTCAATTTCATGGCTGTCTGCAGTGATCTTGAAGCCCAAGAAAATAAAATCTGTCCCTGCTTCCCTTTCTATTTGTCAGGAAGTGATGCCATGATCTTAGTTTTTTAATGTTGAGTTTCAAGCCAACTTTTGCACTGTCCTCTTTCTGTGGTGGAGGGCTCAACACTGGCTCATGTTTGGATCCTAGAAAGAGGGTTTGCCTAAATTTCAGATCCCCCCCCCCACTTTCTGAGCCCAGTGGATTTTCCCAAGAGTTATTTGCTTATCCATCTTTTGCATTTCACTTTGCTTCCCCAATCCCTGGGACTGCATTATGCCAAATAATGTTTACATCGGTAACCCTGTCCAAATCCCACATAAAAATGATTTACAGGCTATGTTGCTGTTTTCTCATTCTTGTAATTTATTATTCTTTAAAATGGACATGGGTGGGAAATGAGTTTCATTGCCAGCTGTGTCTTGCAGACAGATATAGTCTTATATGTTAAGTCCATTGCCCTGGCACTTTTCTGCAGGAAGTGCGGCTGTGTGCACGTTTCACACAACCGCCATTTTAACCTGGATGCGAATCTTCTGGAAGAGATAATGATGGTGGAAGAAAGCAGACGGCGGTCTTAGGAACTGTTAAAAAAATTTATTAAAATGTCCAGCAGTACAGAAACTGCAAAGGGTCTTGTTTTTTCTCCCCCACTTCCCCCCCATTTTTGGGAGGGGGGAACCACCCAAGGGGCAAGAGGGAGGGGTTACACACAGAGGAGGACTGGACACCGCAGTTATGTTGAAACAGCAGAGGTTGGAAAGGTGCTGACTGCACACATCGCACTCACACATACAAACACATCCACACTTATACATACACCCACAAGTCAAACCCAGTTTCAGATGTGACACATTTTGTTTGCAGGGAAAACAGTTTGGAAGCAATTGCGTTTGCAAAGGATGTGGTAGCCCAGAAGTTACCTCAGGTACAGGAACACCCACCAGAAGCTTCCAGCAAGATCATTTTAGGAGACAGGATTAGATTTCCTGCCACCTGTTCCTAGGTTGTTCCTCTCGCTAGTGTTGAGGGGGACCTCAAAGGTCATCTAGACTAACCCTCTGCCAGTGCTGGAAAACAGGTCCTCCAGTATGATTGTTCGGTAGTTCGAAGGTCTGTTTTTGAAAGCCAGCAACCAAGATAAGTCCACCATTTTAGGCACTGCTTTTTCCACTGAATAGATAGAAAAAAATTTGAGACAAATATAAAGATTTCCTCATGGACCTCTTTTCCCTCTCAAGGGCATCTCTGTGGTCATAAAAATTAAGATGGCAGCCTTGGCTACATGGCACAATCACGAGCGTGGCCACCATTTTGACTTTTTTTGACTCCTTCTTCCCTGCAGATGCCACTCCTGATCCAACTTTGCTTCACTAGATCTTTACATGGCTGGCTCAGGAATTCTGGGAGTTGAAGTCCACAAGTCATAAAAGGGCCACTGTTCCCCACCCCTGCTTTAGGTCTTAGCTTGGAAGCAAGTCCCACTGGTATCAATATATGTGGATACAAGGGGAACAGGAAGTCCTAGTCCTACACCTACAACCATTTAGTGACCGTTCAAAGTTACAACACTACTGAAAAAAGTTACTTACAACTAGTCCTCGCACTTAAGACCATTGCAGCTTCCTGCAATCAAGTAATCAAAATTACGGGAGCTTGGCAACTGCCTTGTATTTACAATAGTTGCAGCATCCTGGGGTGGACTTCAGCTTCCCGAATTCCCCGGACAGCCTAAATTAAAGTATACTGTGCAGCCAATTCAAGCTTTTCTCTAGGGCTGTGCCCTGCTCACACCTGTTGACTGAATTTTATCTAGTGGCCACCGATGTTGGGAGTTGTTATGCTCACAGATCTGGAAGGCCACACAGTTTCACCACTGCGGCCTTAGGATGCAGAGGCCATTGAGAGATTTTTGTCAAGGCCAGCCTACATCTCCTTGTAGAGAAAGCCATCATGGCAAGCAAGCTTCCAATTAACACATGCAGCCACACCGCTAAGGATGTCCCCAGGGAGGGTCAAAAAAGTCAAGATGGCAACAGCAGCGTGGTTAAAGTTCTATGATGCGTGTAAAAAAGGGGCAGGGCTTCCTTCATACAGTCACGTCTGCCATTTTGATTTATTTTTTTTATCCTCCCTGTGGACACCCCTGGACAGAGCCAGATGCAAAAATGGATGGAATTATGTTTATAGAGGCCAAAAAAAAAAAAGAAAAGAGGGTAAGAGGGGGAAGGCGAATGAAGATTTTCTGTTATTATACTCTATAGCAGTATAAACTCAATTTCACTGAGGGCCGCATCAGCATTGCAGTTGCCCTTGGGGGGCCAGGTGGGTGTGGCCAGGGTGGGTGCGGCCTACTGGGTGGGCATGAATGGAGTGGGTGTGGCCTACTGGGTGGGCATGGCCAGCTCTACATCGTTTGCGTCAAGGGTGCCTGTGGGGGCCTGGGCAGGAGTGGGACAGATCTGAGGGTCTCTGGCAGAAGGGGGGGGGATCGGGGCAAGAGCCAAGGAATGGTCCATTTCTTCATTCCTCACAAAGGGTGACACCTCCTCAGCATGCACCCAGGGGGCGGGGCCAACGCAGCAGGGGCTGGTTCCTCACTGTTTCTGGACAGCCTTGTGGAGCTAAGACTGAATGCATTTCAGCATAGATAGCCACCACAAAATTGTACATTGGCTCCCGGCTGGCCTGGGCCAGGACCAAGGCCAAGGCAGCAGGGGCCGTTTCCTCACTGTTTCCAGGATGGCTTCGTGGGCCACATAAAACCACTTCGCAGGCCGCATCTGGCCCCCGGATCTTGTGTTTGACATGCCCGCTCTATAGAATCGAATTCTAGAACACATTGTGGCACCTGGTTCCTCCTCACCTACAATTAGTCCTCACTTAATGACTCTTCAGTGTTACAACAGATTGACGATGACCCATTCTCAAAGTTATGACAACTGCAACCCTGCTGTAGTCATGTGATACGTTTTGGGAACTTGCCAACCAGCTTGCATTTACAACCTTTCACAATGTCTCTCATCATATGACTATATTTTAAAACTTTTTTTTTTTTTTTTGCCATTTTCCAGCAAAAAAGACTTTGGATATGCTGGATTCACTTACAAACCACAGGATTTGCTTTATGACCATGGTGACTCATTTTACAACCACCATAAAAACTTTTGTAATATCGAGTTAGGTCACGTAGTCATCCATTTAACAACTGCAATGACTGATGAACAAAATTCTGGGTCTAACTGTGATCGTTAAGTGAGGACTAACTATAGTCTAACTCTAAGGGCTGATGTTAAGGAAAGTGAGGTGTGGCACAGAGAAAATCTAGATCGGGTAGGCAACTTTGGCTCTTTTATGACTCGTGGACTTCAACTCCCAGAATTCCTAAGCCCAGTCGGCTCAGGAATTCTGGGAGTTGAAGTCCACGAGTCATAAAAGAGCCAAGGTTGCCTACCCCTGATCTAGATCATGTTTGATTTAGAGATCAGACTCAGCAGTGTCCCCAAGGTCAAAAAAGTCAAGATGTAGCCACGCTTGTGTTACTGAGCTCCCTCCTTCCATTTTATTGCCTGTAAAAAGAGGCAAGGCTTCGATCACAGACTTCTCTGCAGATGCCTCTGGATTGAAAGTTTCCCATTTTAACCAGTTAATTTAATTTACGTTTGAATGAAAAATAAATTTAGATCAAGGGGACGTTGCTGACAGAGGGCCTTGTGCTTTGCGGGGGCAAAGAGAGCAAACAACCAGGACTACCATTTATTTGGGTTGCCACATCCTTCATGTCCATCAGATGGCAGCAAAGAGCAAACCCAAGCACCTTCCTGCCATCTAGTGTGTTACTTCAGTTTTGCAACCTAGTCCTAAGAACAAGAACAATGCAAAATTCCTTAGATCTGCAAAATTTAAACAAAAGAAGAACCAAGGAGACTTGAGAAAGTATCACTAGATCTGACATTTTCATGACCTGTTTTAAGGTCACGCTCTAGGATCAGACTTCCTAGAGCAGTGGTGACGAACCTATGGCACAGGTGCCAGAGGCAGCACTCAGAGCCCTCTCTGTGGGCATGCGCACTGTTGCCCCAGTCCTAGGCCTTCAGCTGGGTTTTATAAAACCTTTTTGCTTTAGGCCTCTGCCACCGTGTACAAAAAAAAGGAGGTTCAATCAATAAGTCAATTTCAACTTCTCGCTGGAAAAAAAAAGATCTTGCAAAGTTGGAATTGACTGATTGAACTTTTTAGTCCCACCCAGTCTGCCATTACCACCACAGCCATGCCCACCCAATGGGCCATACCCATCCAATGGGCCACACCCACCTGGCACCCGACGATGCATAAGTGGGTTTTGGGTTGCAGTTTGGGCACTCAGTCTCTAAAAGGTTCGCCATCACTGTTCTAGAGACAATATACTCATATGAATATAGCTGCTAGGCTGGGCAGCATCCATTTTAATCTCTCATCAGTGGCCCAAGATTGTGCTATGTCAGAGCTGTGGGGCATGGTGGGAAATTCATGACACCTTCTCAACCTTAGCCATTTTAAGATGTGTGGACTTCAGTTCCCAGAATTCTCCAGCCAGTTAAGCTGAAGTCCAGGAATCCTAAAGCTGCCAAGGCTGAGAAACATATACTATGTTTCTTCCCCATCCTAACGATGTTTCAAAGAAGTAATAAAATGAAAATGAGATCAGAAAAGGGGCGACTTGAAATTTCTGAGGAAGTGGCCTAGTTCATGGAGAATCCCAGACCACATTTGAAGAAGAGCTATGCTTCCCTGGAAGGATTTGCAGGCTAAGGAACTTAGTTTCCTAGGTGGTTTATGCCACAGGCCTGTAATGGTGTGTGAGAATGGCCTTGTGAGACGGGAGAGGAAGCCACAGACTGGGCAAGTGCTCGGTTTCCCATGGTTTCTGTCCTTCTGTGGACTGAGGCATCTTTTACATCCTGGTTATCCAATCTATAGCTCTCCCTCTTATCTGCCAAAGCCATTCCCACATACCAAGGTCTCCAAATTTTAGGACTTGTGGACTTCAACTCCCAGAATTCCTCAGCCAGCCATGTCTCAGGGCACTTTCTTTAAAAGTGGGAATGACAGATGTCATCCATCCCTGGAACAGATGGCAATCAAATAGAATCAGCCTCACCTTTTCCCCTTGGATAAATCAAAAGCTAGCTAAATAGCAGCAAGAGAGAACTGGCAGCAAAGAGAATGTCTTAAACCAGCTATGTTCAATTCAGCTACCTCCAGATAGATTGGACTACAATTCCCATCACCTGATCAGGCCCAAGCTGGTGGGACAACAAAACCTTCGGAAGGGGCAAGTGAGGCCACTTGAATCTTGTGCTGAGAAAAATGTCTTCCTTTATCTTCTCTAAAATTATGCAATTTTTTTTTTTGCAAAGCCTTGTTCTTCTTTTGTTACTTTGCAGAAGGTTCTAATGTTGCTGACTGTGGGGGGGGGGCAGGCTCGGGGTGAGTTGGGGACTAAGAAGGCCAAAGCAGAACCTCCAACTCCCCAATCATTGGGCAATTTATTTGCCCCTCTGAATTTTAAGCCCCCGTTTCCCAGAAGATCTTTGCAAGCAAGACGAACTTTTATAACTTCTCTTTTAAAAACGAGAGCAAATTCTCAGAAATTAGCGCCCCAGTTTTGCTGGAGGTAGGGGTGGGGGGCGGAGGCATGAGGAACATGCTGACCTGACTGGAATCATTTTAAGTGCCAGGTTTTCAGCATGTCTGCATGAATGCTAGTGGGCATGTGTCGCACGCAACTGTGCCATCCTGCAGCGGGCCCTGGGTAGAGATACGAGAGGGAAAGAAAAGGCAATCAGCCACTCCCATCACACATGGAAACCCCGTCACATCCTGGATGGTCGGGAGGAAGATGGAGGAGGAGGAGGGGGCTGGAGGTACGGGAAGGGATCAAAGCTTGTGCTTCCATTGGGGTCAGAGGTTAAAAGTAGTTGCTGCCATCCTCTGCCCAGTCCAGCTTTGGACGCTGCTTCTGGTGTTTCCTCCGCTCCTTGCGGGATTTGTGGTGGTGATGCTGCCGGCGGTGATGACGGTGATGCCGCCGGGTTCTGTGGGACCGTCTGGCTATAAGGAATCAACAGCCAGGAAAGAGGGAGGCGTTAGTCACTCAGCCCAGACTAGGTGGCAAGTGCAACAAGGGCTAGCTACTACCACAGTTCTACATGCAGGAAGTCCTCGTTTAACAACTGCCTCGTTGAGCGACCATTTGCTAATTACGGCGGCGATGAAAAAACTGACTTTGCAACCAGTCCTTGCCGTTATGACCTTTGCAGGTCTGTAAGGCCGAGGAAAAAGTTGAACTAAGATCATAAACATAATTACGGTTTCGCTTAGCAACCATTTCATTTTAGTGGCTGAGCTGCAGATGCCAATTGTGGTTGCTAAACGAGGACTACCTGTCCTCAACTTTTCTAAAAGACATTGCCTGCACAAACAATACACATCGAGAGCCAACTGGGCAGAAGGGCAAAGCTGCTGGACTAGAAACCAGGAGGTTCTGAGTTCTATTCTCTCCTTGGGCAGGAAAGTTGGGTGGGTGGCTTTGGGATAGTCCCTCTCTCCTAGCCCGTCCCACCCGCACGACTGTTGTCACGGGAAGACGAGGCAGAAGCCTCATGAGCACCATTGGTAGTTTTACAAACAAAAATGGATTATAAATCAAATAAATAAGCAACTCACCGATCCATATCACATATTCATTTGTCTACCTATGTTTCTCCCAGTATCAGCCCCACCCACCCCCACATTTCCTTCCTGAATTAGGGGTGAGCACCCAGCTGTCCCTTGGCTGATTTCAGAATGAAGGCAGGTCACACCTTGAGAATGGGAGACCACTAGGAAATATCATGACTATCGGAGCAGGAAGTGGAGAGAGGGAAGGGAACAGAAGGGAAGGGAAGGAAAGGAAAGAAGGGAGAGAGGGAGGGAGGGATCAAAAAAGGGAGGGAGGGAGGGAGAGAGGAAAGAAATATATACCATTTTCATATTTTTTTATCAAGAATTGAGCTAATTTACCGTGTGTGTGTGTGTGTGTGTGTTACCTTTCAAGAACTTTTCTCCCTGTACCCACATATTCTGGTGTGCCTTTCTCCCATCCTTTCCCTCCCCATCCCACCTGCTCTTTTTCTTTTTCAACAAAAGAGCTCTCCCAGTCCAACCCTGGATGGTGCTTGTTCTTAGCACCAAGTGAGCCCTTTCCAGGTTTCCTTCCTCAGACCACCTGCCAGCCTGCCCAGCCAAGAGGGAACAAAGAGAAAGGGAGATTTTCTGCCCCTCCTAACCAGCCGTTTCCACCTTTTTGTCCCTGAAAGTGACGGCAGGAACTCACGTTTTGTGCAGAGGACCTTGGGGTTCTCCCACAGGCCGTTGACGTGACATTTGATGGTGGGCAAATGTCTTTGGAGGAAGCCTTCTGTGCACTGGTATCGGATGGTCGAGTGCACGCTGTACTTCTCCTTCTTCTTTCCAATGGGGGAAGCGTTTTCCACCAGAGGGGGTGGCCCACACAGCACTACAAAGACCATACAAGTTGTAGACAGGAAGGCGTGGAAAACCTGCCTTACAACAGCTGTTGACTGGCTTTGTCAGGCATTTCAAAAAGGTTCCTTCATGTTACTTTTTTTCCCCCTTTGAATTTTACAGTTTTAGGCTTATGATTTCCAGCGCAGAACAATTTATTTTTTCTTGGACATTTTCATCCTATTTATTAGGAATCACAATTTAAATGACACCAGCACCCGTTGGTATCATAAGGCAACAATTCTGCAAAACTCTATTTAACCTTCGAGCAAGCGGTGCTTTGGTGCACGGAGTGCGCTATTGCCACTTACAACTTCAATAAGCTGGCAGTCACACAACTTGCTCACCCTGGTAGGCCTTTGCTCACTTTGGTAATATTATCAGTTTCCTGAAGTCTGCGGCTATAATAATAATATCCTTTTAGTGACTTGCAAGGTCTGATTGTTCACTACTCAACTGACTTTGCGGAGGTGTGTTTTTGAAATGCGTAGAAAGAAAAGGTTCTACAGCAGGGGTGTCAAACTCAATTTCATTGAGGGCCGCATCAGCATTGCGGTTGCTCTCAGGGGGCCGGGTGGGTGTGGCCTACTGGGTGAGCGTGGATGGAGCGGGTGTGGCCTACTGGGTGGGCATGGCCAGCTCTACATTGTTTGCGTCAAGGGTGCCTGTGGGGGCCTGGGCAGGAGTGGGACAGATCTGAGGGTCTCTGGCAGAAGGGGGGGGGGACCGGGGCAAGCGCCAAGGCATGGTCCATTTCTTCATTCCTCACAAAGGGTGACACTTCCCCAGCATGCACCCAGGGGACGGGGCCGACGTGGCAGGGGCTGGTTCCTCGCTGTTTCCAGACAGCCTTATGGAGCTAAGACTGAATGCGTTTCAGCATAGATGGCCACCACAAAATTGTACATTGGCTCCCTCCCTCCCGGCTGGCCTGGGCCAGGGCCAAGACAGCGGGGGCCGTTCCCTCACTGTTTCCAGGATGGCTTCGTGGGCCACATGAAACCAATTCGCGGGCCGCATCTGGCCCCCGGGCCTTGTGTTTGACATGTTTGTTCTACAGCAACAAGCAAAATTTATCCGATTTTATACTCATTGTGTATTTTGGAAGTCTTTTCAAACGGATGTACTGCCCTCTCCTTTGAGGCTAATGAGAGCACCCTGTTCCCCCCCCCCCCAAAGAAGCTTCTGAACACCAGATCACATTGCATGGAGGGCCCTACAACTTGCCACGGCCAACTAGCCACAACAGGACAACTTGCTGCAGGACAATGCAACAATTCAATTTAATTATTTAAAATAATTAAAAGATTACTTTCCTGGCATAATAAAGTAATCTTTTCATTATTTTAAATAATGATGCCAGAAAAAAATTGATAAACAAAGTATATGTTTGCTTTTACATGTGATAACATTTGCACAACATTCGAAAAAGGAAGAAATACCATCAGAGGAAGAAATAATTAAAAATATATTAGATTGTGCGGAAATGGACAGACTTACTCTGAAGTTGAAAGAAAAAGAGGAAACAGAATACTATCAGACTTGGGACTTGTTTTATCAATGGCTGGAGAAAAGAATAAAGGATTAGGAATGAAATTTGTATTAGTGAACGATAAACTCAGACAACACGTTGTTGAATAAGTACTATTGAATTGTATAGAAAAAAATAATAAACATTTTATAAAAAAATAAAATAAAAAATTTACTTTGATTTTTGTCGTTCACATTTCATTTTGTTCCTCCTTAGGCATCCTTTCTTTAATGATTCCTTTCCTGGGGTGAGTTGTTTGTAGCAAGTTGTCTATGGCGAGTTGTCAAAGACCCCCTACAGATAGTCCTTGGCTTATAAGCACAATTGAGCCTGGACTGTGGTTGTTAAGTCATTGAGGTCATTAAGTGTGTCACCATGTGATTATTTTTACGAGTCACTGCAGTCGTTAAACAAATCACATGGTTGTTAAGTGAATCCAGTATATCTAATGAGTGGTTTTTGCCATCTTCTGCCAGAAAACAGTAACAAAATTGTGGTCACATGACTTCAGGATGCCGCAATTGGTCATAAACGCAAGCCGGTTACCCAGCACCTGAAATGCGATCACATGACCACTTCGAGGATGAGACGTAAGTAAAGGCAGTCCACGACTTACAACAGTTCATTTAGCGACCGTTCAATGGCATTGTAAAAAGTAACTTATGACCGTTTTTCATGCTTACCACCGTTGCAGCATCCCCATGGTCACATGATCAAAATTCAGGTACTTGGCAACTGGCTCATAGTTACGATGGTTGCAATGTCCCGGGGTCACGTGATCACCTATTCCAACTTTCTGACGAGTAAAGTCAGTGGGGATGCCAGATTCACTCAACAACTGTATTACTACCAAATGCAGTGATTCACTTAACAGCCGTGGCAAGAGAGGTTGTAAAATGGAGAAAAAATCATTTAACAAATGTTTCAATTAGCAACAGAAATTTTGAGGTTGTAAGACAAGGACCACCTGTAACATTTGTTGTGTCTGTCATAATTTTGAAGGGTAATTAAGCCACCATGAGGATGACCTGCTGGCACTGATGGTATTACCTAGATGGGTAATGAAATGTCTGCAAGAAAACAGCCACGCTTAGAGAGCACCAAGGACCCCACATGTTCATATTATTGCCAAAAAAAATGACATTGAAGTGTCCCTGTAAGTCACCAGAGATGCTGGATTTGTTTTTGCCTTCACTATTTTCCTCCTGAATTTAATCAGACTCAAGTCTCTCTCTGTGGATATTTCTGCATTCAGTGATACTGATTCAAATCTGAGATTGCTCTGCTTTACAAAATGCGATAAGGGAACAAGATGAATCTCTGCCTTGGAAGGTTTACAATCTGTGTTTTATCATTGTAAGAGATGCAGGAGAGGGAATCACCGCCTTTACAAATCTGGGTTTAAAGGAAAAAATAATCTGAATTCTGAAGACCCACTCAAGGGGTTTTCTTTCTGCTTAAGCAATTTATATCTTCAGATGTTCTAGGACAGGGGTGTCAAACTCAATTTCACTGAGGGCCGCATCAGCATTGTGGTTGCCCTTGGGGGGGCTGGGTGGGTGTGGCCAGAGTGGGTGTGGCCTACTGGATGGGCATGGCCAGTTCTACATCATTCGCGTCAAGGGTGCCTGTGGGGGCCTGGGCAGGAGTGGGACAGATCTGAGGGTCTTTGGCAGAACGGGATGGGCCTGGGGCAAGTGCCAAGGTATAGTCCACTGGGGCAAGTGCCAAGATGGCCACCACAAAATTGTACATTGGCTCCCGGCTGGCCTGGAGCAGGGCCAAGGCAACAGGGGCTGTTCCCTCACTGTTTTCGGGATAGCTTTGTGGGCCACATGAAATCACTTTGTGGGCCACATCCGGCCCCCGGGCCTTGTGTTTGACATGTCTGTTCTAGGACCTTTTATAAATCTAACCGATGCCAAGGGGCCCATTTGGGGATGAAGTTATACTCCAGTACTTGGGATAGATGGGGAAGGGGGGATTTCTCTATTTAATTACCAACTTTTATTAGAGCTAATATATCATTAGCCCTGGAAATGGAAGACCCATTTCTCAAATCTGTCACAAACAGCTGGAGGTTAATGTGACTTTTCCAATAAGCAATGGAGGGTCTTAATAGTTTTAAATGGGAAGACTTTCAAAGGCAAATTAACATAGTGGGAGGAAACAGCCCCAAAGGGGATTATTTAATTCCTGCCTCCACCAAATGGAAAACAGAGAATTTAGGATCTCTGAGTAAGAACACCCAGTGGTTTTTGAAAAAAAAAAATCCCTGACGTGGGAAAGCCACAATTGAGCCTAAAATTTCTCTTGTTAAGTGAGACATCGGTTAACTGAGCTTTGCCCCGTTTTACCACCTTCCTTGCCTTAGTTGTTAAGTGAATCACTACAGTTGATAAGATAGTAACCCGGATGTTAAGTGAATCTGGCTTCCCCCATTGATATTGCTTGTCAGAAAGTCGCAAAAGGTGATCACATGATCCTGGGACCACGGCAACCGTCCTAAATATGCCGAGCATCTGAATCTTGATCAGGTGACCATGGGGATGTTACAAAGGTTGTAAGTGTGAAAAACAGTCGTAAGTCACTCGTTTCAGTGCCATTGTAACTTTGAATGGTCACCAAATGAATTGTTGTAAGACGAGGACTATCTTTACAGATCGTTCTTGACTTACAACCTATAAATTTGAAGTTACGATGGACCTCCCTAGGAGTACTTAGGATCTGGATTTGAAGTTCCAACAGTTACCATTCCCTGCATGGTCACTCAGCAATTGGGCTGCATTGACAACTATTTGCAGCATCCTAGGATCGCATTTCCATGCTGCATGGCATTTTGCTGAAAACCAACATTGACTTCCATTTTTTTGCAAAACCGTATCCATAGTGAATCATCAGATCACGTAAAATGACTATAGTGTTTACTTAATTATTTGTTTAACAACCACTGTAAAAAACATTGTTTAATTGTGTTGGTCATAGGGGGGTGACTTAATTTACGACCATCACGAGTTATAACCATGTGGGCAGGCTCTATAACTTGAGGGCACCCAGCATTTAGATCCAGGCTTCTCTTCTGCTCAGTAATTGTTTGGAGTGTAGGAAAGTGTCAAAGAACATGAGGATGGATTTGAAGAAAAGAGATGATAACATGTGAAAATAGGAACCTAGCCCAGGGAAACAGGAAGCTTTGAGAAAGAAACTCAAGTCTGCTCCACCTTGACTCTTCTTGATACAGGTTAACTCAACTGAACTGCAATTACGTCAGCTTATGACAGGAATGGAGTCTGCCTATTAAGTTCATACGTTGAGACATCATAAAGTGGGTCACCACATGACAGGGCCTGTTTTGATAACCTTTTTAGTGGCAGTTGTTAAACGAACACCACAGTCATTAAGTGAACTCATTGTTCACTAGGGCAGTGGTTCTCAATCTGTGGGTCGGGACCCCATTTGGGGTCGAATGACCATTTCACGGGGGTCGCCAAACAATGCAGTCTGCCATTTTTTCCCCCTTTTCCTTAGCTGTGCTATTCCCTTTTATTCTATTGGCTATTCCCTTTTATTCTCTTGAAAGTCCCATTCTGCAAACGGTGCTGCACCAGTTGAGTAGTCCTTGACTTACGACCAGTTGGCCAGTAGGTCACGGCATTAAAAAGGTTGAGAACCATTGCACTAGGGGCTATTTTTGCTGGAAACCAGAAGTAAATGCTATTTTGGGGGCAAAAGCATTGTAAATTGCAGTCACGTGACAGTGGGACGCTGCAAACAGCTGTAAATGCGGCTTGGTTAGCCAAAATGAAGTCATGTGACCACAGGGAGAGGGAACCGGTCACAAATTGAGGACCACCTGTATAAGGAGAGTAAGAGAAATGGGCTGATAATCCTGTGAAAAACAGCCAGTGGGGTTTCTCCCAAGGTCCACTCAAAGAAAGAAGTAAAAAATAAATAAAAATGCATGCCTTTATTACCTGTATCTTTTTTGCAGACATACGGGAGTTTGTAGTTGCATGGGACATCGTTCCATTTGCCAGTCTCATGGGACACCAACACCACGCAATCCTCGCCGCCGGCAAAGAAATTATCTGGCTGGTTTTCACGCCAGTTCTCGTATTGCTAGCAAACAACAGAGAATGGCACATAAGTTAAAAATAGTTCCCCAAATTGCACCGTCATCACCCCTTCCTTTTAATTCTTCTTCTGGATCAGGAATCTTGACAACTTTAAGACTTGTGGACTTCAGCTCCCAGAATCCCTCAGCTAGCGTGTCTTAAAGTTGCCAAGGTTGGATCATGCATGCTCAAAAGGGGTAGAGCATGCATTGCATCAGCACAATGCTGCTTTTATAATTTGCTGCTTGGGTTGTGTACCTCCCGGACACCACTAATCTAGTAGGAAAATGTCTTGTGTCATTTCCACCACGTAGTGGATTCTACAGGGTGTCAGCCAAAAAGTCAAGATGGCAGCCACAACAGTAGGATTGAAGCTCTGTCTGTGTTTTTTTTTTTAAATGGGCATTGCACATAAAACATGCCACTCACATAAAAACAGGCAGGCCTTTGATTGTACTGTTGTGTACCATTTCACTGCACCTGGCTTCCTTGCAGTTCCCATCTTTTATTTTTATTGATTTTATTGTAATATCTTTGATTACTGTGAGCCACCCACAGAGGTTGAAAGCGGAATATCAATTTTTGCTATGCATTCCAGTATTCTGTCCATTGATTGCAGCTTCCTATTGATTCAGAAAGAGAAGAGCTTTCTCCATAACCTGGTCCTTTTTAAGCTCAAATCTGGGAAGATTGTCTGCAAGGGAGAGACTTTACCTCCAGGCCAGGCTGGGTTTAAGCCCTTGGTTCTCCTATCTAGCTTGGTGTGGTCCAGTGGTGGCGAACCTATGTCATGGGTGCCAGAGGTGGCACTCAGAGACCTCTCTGTGGGCACGCGTGCCGTTGCCCCAGTCCTAGGCCTTCAGCTGGGTTTTATAAAACCTTTTCGCTTTAGGCCTCCGCCGCCATGTGCAAAAAAAAAAAGGTTCAATCAGTCAATTTCAACTTCTCACGGGAAAAAAAAAGATCTTGCAAAGTTGGAATTGATTGATTGAACTTTTTAGTCCGACCCAGTCTGTCATTACCACCGCAGTCATGCCCAGCCAATGGGCCACACCCACCCAATAGACACACCCAGCCAACGGGCCACACCCACCCAGCACCCGATGATGCATAAGTGGGTTTTGGGTTGCAGTTTGGGCACTCGGTCTCTAAAAGGTTCACCATCACTGGCGTGGTCTGTTGCAACAGATGTCAGGTGCAAGAAATTTATTTATTTATTTACCAAATTTATATGGCAGCTCACTCACCTTCAGTGACTCTGGGCAGCCTACAAACAATAAAAACCCAATATACAAAGAGTAAAAACAACAGCCCCCCCATGCCCCTTTGAAATAGGATCCAAAGGAACCCTTCAGGATAAGGCTCAAAGGTATTACGAGTTTATTTCATGCTATCTATTCACAAGAATCTGAATTACTGACGGTCAAGGCGAATTGGCACCAAATAAGAGTCATTGCAGAATAACAGAATTGGGAAGGACCCTGGAGGTCTTCTAGTAGTAGTCCAACCTACTGCTCAAGCAGCAGATCCTATACCATTCCAGGCAAGTGACTGTCCTGTCTCTCCTTGAAAACCTCCAGTGTTGGAGCACCCACAACTTATGGAGGCAAGCCATTCCATTGATTAATTGTTCTCCCTGTCAGGAAATTTCTCCTTAATTCCAGGTTGTTTCTCTCCTTGATTAGATTCCATCCGTTGCTTCGTGTCTCGCCTTCTGGTACTTTGGAAAATAGCCTGACTCCCTCTTCTCTGTGGGAGCCCCTGAGATATTGGAACACTGTTACCATGTCACCCCTGTCAAAGTCAACGGACTTAAGAGGAACTGAATTTAGGTCTCTTACAGGGGCATAGAGATTCAAGACACAGGATGCATTTGGTCCTGCCCTGGGGCATAGAACGGTCATCGCCTATCTGGGAGAATTTCCCAACTTCACTCTTGGCTGCTTCAATTGGTAAGACTCAACCCAGGGACCTGCATGCAACAAAGTTGCCTCAACCCAGACTGAATCTCCCCTTCCAGAGACTCACCAATCCGGTGTTGTCCGTCCATTGGAAATCCTGTTCCACGATCCGATCATTGAGGCCGATCCAAGTGTTCTCGTGGCCGAAACCTGAAGGGGAGAAGAGCTTGGAGTAGGAACAATGCATTTCTCAGGGGCTTGAGTTCTTCCTCGATTATTGATTTGCTTTATGGATCGGCAGCTGTCTATAGGAGGCTCCAATATTCCAAATGGGGTAGGATGGATTGGGTGGGGTTTTGTAAAGAAAAAGGCCTTGTGCATGTGTTTGTGTGTGCGTCTGTGAACAACCTGCACAACCACATTGGGGTGGTTGCTTTTTGCTGGAGCTTCTGGACAAAACCCACTAGCATTAGCTACTGTGGACACTGGCCACCCATGGGGTATCTCTGCTGTCATTACTAAGGCCCTGGCAGCTTGTAAGAGCTTTGGATATCATCTTGCTGAGTATGCATGCTTTTTGTGTTACACTTTTAAATTTGTTTGCTTAAGCTAATAATAAAGTTTAATATTCTTTCATTCACTGGAGTGTTAATTGTTTCTGGATCCAAACGAACAAGTTGCCTGAGCACTTGATCAACCGCCCTTACATGTGGCAAAACTCCCCAGAAATAGGTGGTGCAATGACCACATTCTGTGATGTGTGAAGCAGTGAACTTGCACTGTCCCATAGCTTTTCTCTCTTAAGAGTAGAGTAGAGTAGAGTAGAGTAGAGTAGAGTAGAGTAGAGTAGAGTAGAGTAGAGTAGAGCTGGAAGGGACCTTGGAGGTCTTCTAGTCCAGCCCCCTGCTCAAGCAGGAGAACCTATACCATCTCAGATAGGTGAATGTCTAGTCCAGTGGTTCTCAACCTTTTTAATGCCGCGACCCCCAATCAGTCGTAAGTCGAGGACTACTCAACCAGTCGTAAGTCGAGGATTACTCAACTGGTGCAGCACTGTTTGCAGAATGGGACTTTTGGTGGGCTCAGCAGGGCAGAGACAGCCTGGACAATTCCTATTGGCTTTTGAAAGCCAATAGAATTAGACTCTATTCAAGAGAGTCTATTCTATTGGCTTTCAAAAGCCAATAGAATAAAAGGGAGTAGCACAGCTAAGGAAAAGGGGGAAAAAATGGCGGACTGCGTTGTTTGGCGACCCCCGTGAAATGGTCGTTCGACCCCAAATGGGGTCCCGACCCACAGGTTGAGAACCACTGGTCTAGTCTCTTCTTAAAAATCTCCATGATGGAGTGCCCACAATTTCTGGGGGTATCTTGCTATGGTTCCCCTTTTCTCTCCCTCTTTCAGAGTTCCCACTTACTGCTAATGAAATTATGTTCTTCCCAGGAGTGAATGCTGGTGAGATGTCCTGACCGACGTCGGCAGTCCCTCTCCGCGTCTTCCCACGAGCGCCGATGCGCAAAGTAGCGATAGCAGTGACCCTGGAACTTACGCCATGTGTGGTCGCAGCCTTCTGTGTCTGAAGGGAGGAAAAAGCATCAAAAGGGGCACAACTAAAAGGTCAGCTTTATCCTCTTTTTAACGAGTGCACCAATTTACAGCTGACAAACGGAAGAGCTGTTGGAAGATATTATCATGCTGGGAAGCAGTGTGATCACTTATGGCATTTTCTAGCAAGTGAAACTGCAATAGGATGAAGAGAACTAATGACTCTCCCTGCATTAGCGCTAGACAGGTTATAGGTAGTCCTCAATTTACAACCATTTGAAATTACGGTGGCACTGGAAAAAGTGCCTTATGACCGGGTTTTGCACTGACGACCATTGCAATATTGCTAAGGTCATGTGATCAAATTTTGGGCGCTTGGTAATAAGCATGTATCTATGATGATCGCAGCATCCCAGGGTCGTGCGGTTACTGCTTGCGACCTTTCTAATTTGCTTCCGACAGGCAAAGTCAATGGGGATAGCTGGATTCACTTAATGACCGCATGATTCACTCAATAACTGCAGTCATTTGCTTAACAACTCTGGCATAAAAGGTCGTAAAGTCAGCGACGCCTCACTTAACAATCCCCTTGCTTAGCAATGAAAAGTCTGGTCCCAGTTGTGCTTTTAAGTCAAGGATTATCTGAATATCTTATGAAAAGAGCCAGTTTGGCTAGAAACTGGGTGACTCCGATTTCTAGTCCTGCCTTGGGAAGGGGATTGGGCCAGTCCCTCTCTCCCACCCCTAGGAAGGAGGCAATGGCAAACTATGTCTGTAACCAGGCCAAGACAATGGCAAGAACTACTCCAGGCAGTCACCAAGCTCAACCCTGACTTGAAGGCACATCCACACACACACACACACACACAAAATCTTAGGACAGATTGTTTTTCCTCCACTGTAGTCCCTCCATTTGTATTTGGGGCTTGATTTGTGGGACTGTCTTCGGTCATCATTTCCCATTTCTTCCAAGCCAACCACGTTACAGCAGATTTCTCCATCAAGATCATCAGACAGAGCTTAGGCCACCTGCTCTTCTTGACAAGGGCCAACCTCAGGAATAATCTTTCCGCCAATTTGCCCTGACCAGGGTGTCCATAGGGAGAATAGGGGTTCACTTATTAGACAAATGAGGACTGCCTGTAAATCACTTTCTAGATCAAGGGTCTTCAAACTTGGCAACTTTAAGACTTGTGGGCTTCAACTCCCAGAATCCCCCAGCTAGCGTGTCTTAAAATTGCCACAGTTGGATATGCCTGTTCTAGATCATGCATGCTCAAAAGGGGTGGAGCATGCATTGCTGGCTGGCTGAGGAATTCTGGGAGTTGAAGTCCACAAGCCTTAAAGTTGCCAAGTTTGAAGACCCCTGTTCTAGATTATCCAGTTAGTTCACTGGGTTTCCCAGGGAAGGTATGTTTGCCAAGAATCAAAACCAACTTGATGGTACATAATAACAGCATATTGAGAGGGCATCAGGCTGGGGATGGTTGCCCTAGGAGTGTCCAAAATTGGAAACTTTAAGATGAGAACTTCAACTCCCAGAATTCTCCAGCCTGCCGTGCTGGCTGAGGAATTCTAGGAGTTGAGGTCCAAAAGTCTTAAAGTTGCCAATGCTGGCTGGCTGCCAATGCTGGTTGAAGTGCACAAGTCTTCAAATTGCCAAGGTTGGATACCTCTGGCCTAGAAGATCATTGTACTCTAAGATCCACTCAGAAAGCCCACTCTGGATAACAAAAGAATAAAGACATGGTCATAGAGGTGGCACATCTGTATGTGTGTGTTTTGATAAAAAAAAAATAAATCTCCATGGCATCTGTCACCCTGCAGCAAATGAACTCCTGCTTCTTTCTATGTGTGGTTCATGCCTAATACATGCACAAAAGAGGCAGGGCTTTGTGGTGCAATTCATTGTTAGAATGCATTTTCTATTGCAACAACTACAGAATTAATCCACCAGTAGATAGCAAGGTTTAGTCTGCGATTATAATCTATGGTTCTATTTGTTCTGAGGAGAGCTTCCTGTGATAGTTAAAACCATTAAGCAGCGAGGCCCATGGTGACTGTACACTGTACATTTTATTTGATCTGCGTGGTTGTGTAACCATCCTCTGCTACCAATCTTTGGTCACCACAATGTAAAAAAGATGTTGTGACTCTAGAAAGAGTGCAGAGAAGAGCAACAAAGATGATTAGGGAACTGGAGGCTAAAACATATAAGGAACAGTTGCTGGAATTGGGTATGTCTAGTTTAATGATACCAGATACCACTCTAATGGCAGAAAGTGAAGAGGAACTAAAGAGCCTCTTGATGCGGGTGAAGAAGGAGAGTGCAAAAGTTGGCTTGAAACTCAACATTAAGAAAACCAAAATCATGGCATCCGGCCCTCTCAATCCTGGCAAATAGATGGGGAAGAAATGGAGGTAGTGACAGATTTTATTTTTCTGGGCTCCAAGATCACCTCAGATGGGGACTGCAGCCAAGAAATTAAAAGACGCTTGCTCCTGGGGAGGAAAGCTGTGGCAAATCTAGACAGCATTCTAAAAAGCAGAGACATCACCCTGCCAACAAAAGTGCGTGTAGTCCAGGCCATGGTTTTCCCAGTTGCAATGTATGGCTGTGAAAGTTGGACCATAAGAAAGGCTGAGCGCCAAAGAATTGAGGCCTTTGAACTATGGTGCTGGAGAAGATTCCTGCGAGTCCCTTGGACTGCAAGGCGTTCAAACCGGTCAGTCCTAGAAGAGATCAACCCCAACTGCTCTTTAGAAGGCCAGATCCTGAAGTTGAAACAAGTACTTTGGCCACCTAATGAGAAGGAAGGATTCACTGGAGAAGAGCCTAATGCTGGGAAAGATTGAGGGCAATAGAAGAAAGGGACGACAGAGAATGAGATGGCTGGATGGAGTCACTGAAGCAGTAGGTGTGAATTTAAATGGACTCCAGAAGATGGTAGAGGACAGGAAGACCTGGAGGAACGTTGTCCATGGGGTTGCGATGGGTCGGACACGACTTCGCAATTAACAACAACAACAACAAGTTTAATGAAGAGAAGGACGAGGGGGGACATGATAGCCCCAATATCTCAGGGGTTGCCACAAAGAAGAGGGAGTCAAGCTATTCTCCAAAGCGCCTGAAGGCAGGACAAGAAGCAAGGGATGGAATCTAATCAAGGAGAGAAGCAACTTAGAATTAAGGAGAAATTTCCTGAGAGTTAGAACAATTAACCAGTGGAACAACCTGCCTCCAGAAGCGGTGAATGCTCCAACACTGGAGGTTTTTAAGAAGAGACTGGACAGCCATTTGTCCGAAATGGAATAGGGTTTCCTGCCTGAGCAGAGGGTTGGACTAGATGACCTCCAAGGTCCCTTCCAACTTTATTATTATTATTATAATCTGTATGGCTATATAATAATCCTCTGCTACCACTGCTATACATAAACAGAATTTCTAACACTTTGATCACACAGTCTTGGCTGCCATGTTGATTTTTGTGACCCAGCCATCTGGCCCGGATGGCACCTGAGACTTGGGGTAGGGCCTCCAGAGAACCACCAGCTGCCTGTAATCCTTGCCTTGTATTTTATTCAAGGCGGGTAGATGAAACTCTGCTATTGTGTTAGCGGCCTCCAAAGGCTGCTTGGGTGGGAAGGAAACAGCTTTCAAGGACCAGGTTGGATTAATGGCCTTCTTTCTCTCCAGCTGCTGAGTTGATAGTTTCTCACACAAAGGGAATTTCTCAGCTGACAAGCAGAGCAGAATATATATATATACACGCAGGCTTCCATATCCTTCGCTCTCACCTTCCCTCTGAGTTTGGAGGCAATGCATGTGTGTGCTAGGCCAGTGGTTCTCAACCTGTGGGTCGGGACCCCATTTGGGGTCGAACGACCATTTCACGGGGGTTGCCAAACAAAGCAGTCCGCCATTTTTCCCCCCCTTTTCCTTAGCTGTGCTACTCCCTTTTGTTCTATTGGCTTTTGAAAGCCAATAGAATAGACTCTCTTGAACAGAGTCTAATTCTATTGGCTTTCAAAAGCCAATAGGAATTGTCCAGGCTGTCTCTGCCCTGCTGAGCCCGCCAAAAGTCCCAGTCTGCAAACGGTGCTGAACCAGTTGAGTAGTCCTCGACTTACGACCGGTTGAGTAGTCCTCGACTTATGACCGGTTGGGGGGTCACGGCATTAAAAAGGTTGAGAACCACTGTGCTAGGCACACGTGTGTTCCCACGCAAAAGCCATGCTTTCTTTTTATAAAGAGGATTTCGGGTTCAATGGCCAGCTTCTGTCAGGAGAAATGGATGCAATATTCCAATTCCAAACAATGTTTGACATTTGTTTGGGTTCGTACGACTGGCTGACTTAACCACATTAAGATAAAGCGGCTGACTATGTGCAAAGTGCAAAGTTTGGCTGATAGTCAATATGGTGCAGTGTGATGTACAAACTCAGCCCGCTTGATTAATTTAAGATGCAGTGAACACAGAAGGTGGATTAATTAATTGACCAGGATAATAGTGTGGGGTGAACTCAGCCATTTAGAATCCTTGCCAAGCCTATTAAATGCAGAGTGCAGAAACAAGATTCACCCAGACCTTCTTGAATGAATTTTGATGCTAAGAGTTAAGAGTTAGAGTAGAGGTCCCCAACCTTTTGGGCACCAGGGACCGGTTCCGTGGATCGAGGTTTTTCCGTGGACTGGAGGGTGCGTGGTTTTGGGTGCTGCCTGCATCCCACGGATGGGGCTTTGCTTGTTTGTGCAGATCAGTTGCTGGCATGCTGCGGCCTGGTACTGGTTCACAGACCAGGGGTTGGGGACCCTTGGGTTAGAGCAGTGGTTCTCAACCTGTGGGTCGGGACCCCATTTGGGGTCGAACGACCATTTCACGGGGGTCGCCAAACAACGCAGTCCGCCATTCTCCCCCCCTTTTGCTTAGCTGTGCTACTCCCTTTTATTCTATTTTGCTTTTGAAAGCCAATAGAATAGACTCTCTTGAATAGAGTCTAATTCTATTGGCTTTCAAAAGCCAATAGGAATTGTCCAGGCTGTCTCTGCCCTGTTGAGCCTGCCAAAAGTCCCATTCTGCAAACGGTGCTGCACCAGTTGAGTAGTCCTCGACTTACAACCGGTTGAGTAGTCCTCGACTTACGACCGGTTGGTGGGTCGCGGCATTAAAAAGGTTGAGAACCACTGGGTTAGAGTATAGAATCTGGAGACCTGTGATAGGAGAACCTCTCCTGTCCTCTAATAGTGAGTTCACGAAGATGGAGCTTTCAAAACTTTTGAATTGTTTTTCCTCTGGGATGATTGATCGATGGACTAAAAATTTGTGTACACCTAGTCCTCAACTTACAACCACAATTGAGGCCACAATCTGTATTGCTAAGCAAGGTGGTGGTTAAGTGAGTAATGCCCGATTTTATGATCTTTTTTGCCATGGTTGTTAAGTGCGGTTGTTAAGTGAATCCATGGATGTTAAGCAAATCCGGTCTCAACTCTGCAAATGAGCCTGGCTGCAGCAATATCATTACCGCTTTATAAAACCCTAGTAAGACCACACCTGGAATACTGCAGCCAGTTTTGGTCACCATGTCACAAAAAAGATGTTGAGAGTTTGGAAAAAATTCAGAGAAGAGCAACTAAGATGATCCAAGGCCTGGAGACTAAAACATACGAAGAACAGCTGCGGGACTTGGTTTTGGCCAGTCTAAAGAAAAGAAGAAATAGGGGAGACATGATAGCAGTGTTACAGCATCTGAGGGGCTACCACAAGGCAGAGGGGGCCAGGTTGTTCACCAGAGGACCAGAGGGAAGGACGAGAAACAATGGTTGGAAACTGATCAAAGAGAGAAGCAACCTGGAATTAAGGAGAAACTTCCTGACAGTGAGGACAATCAGCCAGTGGAACGGCTTGCCCCCAGAAATCGTGGGTGCTCCATCACTGGAGATTTTCAAGAAGAGATTAGACATTCACCTGTCCGAGACGGTATAGGGCTGGACTAGAAGACCTCCAAGATCCCTTCCAGCTCTATTCTATTCTAACCATCTTTTCCCCTCATTTGAGGTTGTCACATGGAATGGAGGGAGGGGGCTTGCCCATGTACTTTGCTAGTCAAAACAATCAGCTGCCCTGTGGGAACAAAGGTCATCTGTTGCTCCCACAATTGGGGACTGGGCATTGTATATGAAAGCCCGCCAAATGCATTTATTGGGAAACATAATCAATTACATAGTTTTGGGAAATTTATACTTTGTCACTAAGGGATTGTTATGGGAATTCAGGCTTGGTTTCACTTTTGACCGTGCCAATACTTTGTAATTAATAAACATGTTCTTTGAGGAATTTGCAAGCCTTGGAATTCTGGTTTATTCGTCTCTGTCTGTCGGAACTGTGACATCTGGCTTCTGCTATTGACTTTGCTTGTCAAAAGCTGGCAGGGACGGTCGCAAATGGAGATCACATGACGACAGGATGCTACAAGTCTCATAAATACACGCCAGTTTCCAAGCACCTGAATCTGATCATATGAAACAGAGATGCTGCAGTGCTTGTAATTTTGAGGACCAAATGCAAGGCACTTTTTCAGTGCTCTTGTAACTTTGAATGGTTGCTAAATGAATGGTTACAACTTGAAGGCTCTGTCTATGTGTGTATATACATACACATGCAATTCACACACACACACACACGGTACTGTCCTTGCCTGCCTTCTCTGAGCTTGAAAAACAAAATGAGACCCCATTTGACTAGCAATTGGATAGGAAACCACCAAGAGATCCTCTTGGCTGTGGACTAGATTAGGAAGTTGAAAAAAGTCATTCAGGTAGATGAATGACTCCTTCACTACCTCCTTCACTATTACATCTCCACGGAGGCATCAGGATTGAGCTCCACTTTATTTTAATGGTCATAAGTGTCTACAGGGTTAGGGGACTGTGACAACATCCATGTCCTGCTGGCCTTGCATCAACAGTACAAATTCTGCACCTCTGTCATTTCACCTCATGCTGCAACTGAACTCAATGCATAACTGTCTGATTTGCAGACAGAGGTCACGACACGCAGGACGTCATTTTGACATCGCTGTGGTTTCTGCCAGACACCCAAAGAAGCTGAACATGCTTTGGGATGCTTTATTCCTTGTCTGAATGATTTTTGTAAAAATTGCAGAGGGTCAGGGCCTCCGTCTCACCTCGGTTGCATAAGCTCCCTCCGTAGCTGGGCAAGCACAGGCAGACAAAGGCATTGATCTCGTCAATGCAGGTCCCGCCATTTTGACAAGGGTTGGATAAGCAGTCATCAATATCTGTGGAGAGAAGAGCATGTTTAAAGATGTAGACTTCTTCTTATGGCTGCTGCTGCATGGAACTCACAAGTCCCTCTTCCGATTGTCTGGGTTCTGTTTATCAGGAAACCCCTGACAGGCTTTTTATTTAATTTAAATTTATTTATATCCTGCCTTTATTATCTTTACAAGTAAATCTGGGCAGTGAACATATCCAACATACTTCCCTCCTGCTATTGTCCCCACAACAACAATCCTGCGAGGTGGATTGGGCTAAGAGAGAAGAACTGGCCCAAAGTCACCCAGCTGGCTTTCATGACTAAGGCGGGACTAGAACTCTCAGTCTCTTTATGATTGGCCCAATATCACCCAGCTGGCTTTCATGCCTAAGGCAGGACTAGAACTCATGTCTCCTTATGATTGGCCCAATATCACCTAGCTGGCTTTCATGCCTAAGGCGGGACTAGAACTCTCAGTCTCCTTATGATTGGGCCAATATCACCCAGCTGGCTTTCATGCCTAAGGCAGGACTAGAACTCATGTCTCCTTATGATTGGGCCAATATCATCCAGCTGGCTTTCATGCCTAGGGCAGGACTAGAACTCATGTCTCCTTCTTTCAAGCCTGGTACTTTAATCACTAGACCTAATTGGCTTTTTGCATGTACAGTAACAGGAAAACAATGAACTTACGCTTTACGGTTTTGATGATTAGAAAAAAATAAGATTATAAAAAGAGAGGTTTTTAAAAAAATAACAATACAGTAAGAGGTAACTTTGTGTTTGTACTTATAATTGCTGTAAAGAAAATCGGAAACTATTTTTTTCTATTTCATGGCTGGCTTGGAAAACTCTGGGAGTTGAAGTCCACACATCTTCAAATTGCCAAATTGCCCTAGAGAAAGAATACTATTGGATGCCCTGAACTCTCTCGGGAAATATAATCTCTGCATATGAGTTGGCTTGAAACACAGACAAGCTCAGGGCTGGAGATGAATCTTCGGAGCTTATCGGAGTTAGAGGAACAGCAGCCAGCTGCATCCAAAGCAAAGATTAACACAACAATCCAGCAGATAAATGCAGTGACATCCATCTGGGAGCGCGACAGCCAAGCATGTACATAAAATTAGTCTGAAACTTCAAGTCTTGCTTCTTTGGCTGACGTTCTTTCTCAGAACTTAGAGCAAAGGGAGGATTGTGTCAAAAATATCTGCAAAAGCGACACACTCCAATGTATTTGCCAACAAACACAGGGGGTCCTTGACTTATGGACACAAATGTCTACGGCAGGGGTAGGCAACCTTGGCTCTTTTAGGACTCGTGGACTTCAACTCCCAGAATTCCTGAGCCAGCATAGGTCAGTTTGGAAACCTCTCCCTTTTCCCTCAGCATGGCTGGCTCAGGAATTCTGGGAGTTGAAGTCCACAAGTCATAAAAGAGCCAAGGTTGCCTACCCCTGGTCTATGGAGATGTTGGGCTCAATTGTGGTGGTAAGTCAAGGACTACCTGTAATTTGAAGACTTTCCTGTATTTGGAGATGCTTTTCCTGTCTTCTCTTAACTTTCTCACAGGGCTACCTCCAGAGCTGCTGAGAGAGGTCCTCAAAAGCCAAGCTGGCTGGGCAGTGTCACAAAACAGATTTCAGAAGGAAAATCTCCATAGGAGTTTTCTGAATTTGATCTCCCAACATTTTAGGACTGGCTAAAGCAGGGGTCTTCAAACTTGGCAACGTTCAGACTTGTGGACTTCAACTCCCAGAATTCCTCAGCCAGCCCTGAGGGCTGGCTGAGGAATTCTGGGAGTTGAAGTCCACAAGTCTGAACATTGCCAAGTTTGAAGACCCCTGGGCTAAAGCAATGGATGCAAAGAGAAAGAGACAATACCCTGGAAGAAAGGATTCATACAGATAGTCCTCGGCTTATGACCACAATTGAGTCCAAAATGTCTGTTGCTAAGCCGGACATGTGTTGAGTGAGTTTTGCCCCGCTTTATGACCTTTCTTGCCACTGCTGTTAAGTGAATCACTGCAGTTCAGTTAGTAACATGGTGGTTAAGACTCTGGCTTCCCCCCGTTCACTTTTGCTTGTCAGAAGGACGCAAAAGGGGATCACGTGACCCCCAGGACACCGCAACCTTCCTAAATATGAGCATCTGAATGTGGATCATGTGACCACAGGGATGCTGCAACAGGTCATAAGTGTGAAAAAGTGGTCCTAAGTCAGTTTTTTCCACTGGCGTTGTAAGTTCGGATGGTCAATAAATGAATTCTTATAAGTCGAAGGCTACCGGTTATCGCAGGGGTGTCAAACTCAATTTCACTGAGGGCCGCATCAGCATTGCGGTTGCCCTGGGGGGGGGCAGGTGGGTGTGGCCAGATTGGATGCAGCCTACTGGGTGGGCGTGGATGGAGTGGGTGTGGCCTACTGGATGGGCATGGCCAGTTCTACATCATTCGCGTCAAGGGTGCCTATGGGGGCCTGGGCAGGAGTGGGACAGATCTGAGGGTCTCTGGCAGAAGGGGGTGGGACCGGGGCAAGTGCCAAGGCATGGTCCACCGGGGCAAGTGCCAAGATGGCCACCACAAAACTGTACATTGTCTCCCGGCCTGGGCCAGGGCCAAGACAGCGGGGGCCGTTCCCTCACTGTTTCCAGGATGGCTTCACGGGCCACATGAAACCACTTTGCGGGCCGCATCTGGCCCCCTGGCCTTGTGTTTGACAGGTCTGGATTATCGGTTCGGGAACTGATTCCCATAATCTTTTCCAGCAGAGTCTCCCATCCCTCCCCCCATCTTCTCACCTATTTCACAGTTTTCACCCGTGAATCCCGGCAGACAGTGGCAGCTGGAAAGATTTCCACTGGACTGGCAAGTGCCTCCATGCAAACATGGGTCGTTATCGCAAGGGTCAGTTTCGGCTGCAAAAAAAGAAACAAGCAGGAAATGAGAAGAGAGGGGGTTTGGAGGGTTTTTTTGGGGGGGGGGGTTCAGGCAATCCAGATTGCAGAGAGATTGCTCAGGTCACCTGGGTTCGGTCGTCTTCTGACTGGACTACTGCAATGTGTTCTACAGGGATCTGCCCTTGAAGCGGCATCTGGTCTAAAAGAAAGCAGCCCACGCAGTTCTGGGTCCTTCATAATTCATCTGTCGTGTGAGCTGCCTTGACTCCCAGTTGCTTTCTGAGTGCAATTTAAGGTGTGAGTCACAGCTTTAAAGCCTTACATGGCACATGGCGAGGTTGCTTGTGGGATCATCTCTGCTTGAGGGTATCTGCCCATCCTACTCGGTCAAATAGCACAGGGCTTTTCAACCTTTTCACCCATTGTATCACTTTTAGGATATGGCAATATCCCAATACCACCAGTCGCCTAGCAAGGTGTCAAAAACATGATGACCAAAAAAAAAAAAATAGCGGGGGTGAGGTGGGGGGTGTTTGGTTGCAGCAGGTTTTGGTCACTTCATATGACTCTGGGACACTGTGACCGTCATAAATATGAATCAGTTGCCAAGCATCTGAATGTAAATCACAAGACCCTGGAGATGCTGCAACATTCCAACTGATCGATGCTTCTTCTGGGCTCAGCAGAAGCACCAGGATCAGTGCTGCTTTCCAGCTGATTGGAGCTTCTTCAGGGCTCAGCAGAAGCACCAGGATCAGCGCCGAGCTCCAGCTGGAGCCTGATGCTGATCCTGGTGCTTCCACTGAGCCCTGACAGCCCTGCAACTCCAGCCATCTCTCGCTCAGGCTTGTGCGGTGCTGCCACCAGTTCAGCTCATTCCCCTCCCCCACTACTCCTTTTCTAGGATGGTCGCGTACCACCTGCTAGGTGCCAATGTACCACAGGTGGTACCCATACCACTGGTTGAAAAGCCCTGGAATAGCAGAATAACAGAGTTGGAAGCAACGTTGGAGGTCTTCTAGCACAACCCCCTGCTCAAGCAGTAAACCCTGTACCGCTTCAGACAAACGATTGCCCAATCTCTTCTTTAAAATCTCCAGGGTAGGAGCACCCCCAACCTCTGGAACCAAACCATTCCTTGTTCTAACCATCAGGAAATTTCTTTTTGGTTCCAGGTTGATTCTCTCCTTGATATGTTTCCATCCGTTGCTTTTTGTCCTGCCTTCAGGTGCTCTGGAGAATAGTTGTCCCCCTCTTCTTTGTGGCAGTTCCTCAACTATTGGAAGACTGCTATCATGTCACCCCCTAGTCCTTCTTTTCCTTGTAGACACACCCAGTTCCTGCAACTGTCCTTCATATGTTTTAGTTCCAGTCCCCTAATCATCTTTGTAGCTCTTCTCTGCCCTTTTCTAGAGTCTCAACAACTTTTTTATATTGTGGCAACCAAAACTGGATGCAATATTCCAAGTGTAGTCACGCTCCACAAATAGGAAGGGTACACTTCAGATCCTCTCCCTGTCATGTCAGGGGGCCTTGGAGGCACCTTCTCTGTAGCTACCCCAGTCCTTTGAAACAGCCTCCCACCTGAGATCCCGATGGTCTATACCTTTTAAGCCAGTGATGGCGAAACTTTTAGAGACCGAGTGCCCAAACTGCAACCCAAAACCCACTTATACATCGTCAGGTGCTGGGTGGGTGTGGCCCATTGGGTCGGCGTGGCTGCGGTGGTAACAGCAGACTGGGTGGGACTAAAAAGTTCAATTAATCAATTCCAACTTTGCAAGATCTTTTTTTCCCCGCGAGAAATTGAAATTGACTGATTGATTGAACCTTTTTTTTTTTTGTACACAGCAGAGGAGGCCTAAAGCAAAAAAGTTTTATAAAACCCAGCTGAAGGCCTAGGACTGGGGCGATGGCGCGCGTGCCCACAGAGAGGGCTCTGAGTGCTGCCTCTGGCACCCGTGCCATAGGTTTGCCACCACTGTTTTAAGCCTTCTAGAAGAACGTGGAGATTTGGGTCATCCCTGAAACATTGAACTACGACAGTGTTTCATGCCCAAGGCAGGACTAGAACTCACAATCACTCAGCTGGCTTTCATTTTTATTTATTTATTTATTCATTCATTCATTTGTATCCCGCCTTTATTATTCTTACAAACAACCCAAGGCAGCTATGCTGGCTGGGGAATTCTGGGAGTTGAAGTCCACAAGTCTTAAAGTGGCCAAGTTTGAGGACCCCTGCCTTAGAACAATCATGGTCACGTGACCACAAAGTGAATTATGGCACAGGAGGAAACTCATGGAAATAGAAGTAGACCTTCCTTCTTCAACCTTGAACTAGATCAGACCAAGGATCTACCCACTTTGGCATCTGGCATTTTCCAAGGATCATCAGATGCCTCAACTTACCTCCTGAAGCTTCTTAAACCACCACTGCAATATCCTTGCTACTACGTACAAGATTTGGGGAACAATTCCATTGTGGAGTACAGTTAGTCCTCCACCACTGAACCCAACATTTCTGTTGCTAAGTGAGACATTTGTTAAGTGAATTTTGCCCTGTTTTACAACCTTTCTTGCCATTGGTGTTAAGAAATTCGGGGCTCAATTGTGGTCCTTAAGTCAAGGGCTACCTATACTCTCAGCTCTGGGGTCCAAATGGCCAAAGGGGAGGAAAAAACAAAAGGGAAACTTGGGGCCTCTAGGGATAAGGAAATGGTGTGGAAGCATTTTGTATATTTAGCAGGGAAATTAGAATTATTTCGGACATGTGATGCGACACCCAGGAAAATACGGCATACTCCATTTCATCCTCCAGGGAAAGATTGAAGGCAAACGAGGTCCAGGCAGAAGAAGAACATCATGGCTTCAAAATCTAAGGGACTGGTTTGGACAAAACTCAGCAGCCCTTTTTCGTGCGGCTGCTGATAAAAACAGGATCGCCAACATGATCGCCAACGTCCGATAACGGATATGGCACAAGAAGAAGAAGCAGGGGAAAAAAAAAAATGTGGAGCCACGTTAGGCGTGAGCAGGACATGCTCTGCTTTGTAACCACATTAGGAGCAAGAGAATAAATCCAGCTAATCAATATCCCGGATGTAGTTTTCCACAAAAGTGCATTACACGAGCTTTGCAAAATACAAGCCAAGACTTTGGAACGGTTATGTCAGAAGACCCATTTCGAATCGTAACGAATGACAGTCCCGAGGGTTTAACGGTTGGAAGCCTTTGTAGTTAGGAAAGAAAATGTGACATTCAAACATGCTTTGGGGGGGGGGGGGGAAAGGGACTCAGTTAGCTGCGAGTGTTCGCTGGACACAGCGGGGAGTCTTGAACAGCCCTTCCAGCAAAGCACATAATTATGCCAACTGCCAATTTTTCTCCCTTTTCTCCGGCTCTGGAAAGGAAGGGAGGAAAGGAGGTCTGTTGTTTTTACTTACATTGCAAGTAATCCTCAACTTACCGTACAACTATTCATCGCTGTTCAGAGTTACAACAGCACTAAAAAAAGCGACTTACGAACTCTATTCACAGTTACATCCATTGTAACAGCCCCATGGTCACATGATCAAAATTGGGGCGCTTATAGCAACCAATTTACCAACAAAAGTACGTATAGTCAAGGCCATGGTTTTCCCAGGTGCAATGTATGGCTGTGAAAGTTGAACCATAAGAAAGGCTGAGCGCCAAAGAATTGAGGCCTTTGAACTCTGGTGCTGGAGAAGAGTCCTGCGAGTCCCCTGGACTGCAAGGCAATCAAAGCGGTCAGTCCTAGAGGAGATCAACCCTGACTGCTCTTTAGAAGGCCAGATCCTGAAGTTGAAACTCAAGTACTTTGGCCACCTAATGAGAAGGAAGGACTCACTGGAGAAGAACCTGATGCTGGGAAAGATCGAGGGCAATAGAAGAAGAATGGGATGACAGAGAATGAAGTGGCTGGATGGAGTCACTGAAGCAGTAGGCGTGAGCTTAAATGGACTCCAGAAGATGGTAGAGGACAGGAAGGACTGGAGGAACATTGTCCATAGGGTTGCGATGGGTCGGACACGACTTCGCAATTAACAACAACAAGCAACCATGTATTTCCGATAGTTGTAGCATCCTGGGGTCATGTGACTACCATTTGTAATCCCCATGGCTGGTTTCCGATGAGCACAATTGATGAGGGGAAGCTGGATTCACTTAACAATGGCATAATTCACTTAACAACTGCAACAATTCGCTTAACAACCGGGCAGTAAAGGTCACAAAACCAGGCACGACTCACTTAACAATTGCTTTGCTTAGCCACAGAATTTTTGTGTTGTAGTCATAAATCGAGGACTGTTTTTTTCTCATCAAATGACACTCCCGGGACAGTCTGCAAGTGAATATTAACCTCACTGTTTCTCTTCCCTGACTCTACTTTTCCCATTCCACCAAAGTTCATTCTATATCTCTTCCTTCCCCAAACACTTAAAAAGGGCAAAATTCAAACTTTGCCCAGGGGTTCTGATCTGCCATCAGCAAATCGGTGTAGCACGGATCCTGTCACAAATTCCCCCAACCAATGCAGAGAATTTTAGAGGAAAAAAAATAGAGAATTTGAAGGCAGCTCCTCTCCTGGGCCCTAGTTCTCTAGTCCAGTGGTTCTGAACTTGTGGTCCACGGACCTCTGGGGGGGGGCACAATGTCATCACAGGGGGTCCGCAAAGACTTGAAGAAATGTTATGATTTAAATCCTGAGTTACGTTTTGGGGGTCTGTGGATGAGCGGCTGCAAAAGTTGATGGAATTATATCAGGGGTAGGCAACCTTGGCTCTTTTATGACTCGTGAACTTCAACTCCCAGAATTCCTGAGCCAGCATGGCTCAGCTTGGAAACCTCTCCCTTTCCCCTCAGCATGGCTGGCTCAGGAATTCTGGGAGTTGAAGTCCGCGAGTCATAAAAGCGCCAAGGTTGCCTACCCCTGAGTTAGATAGATTAACTGCTAAATTCAGATGGCTAAACTGACTGCTTTGATTAAAGAAAAAAACACACACAATTACTTTTGTTTCTACTTGGAAACCGCTTCTGGACTTTGTGCTTGAGGTGGGACAAAAAATGAAACTTTGATTTTGGCTTTTACCTATTAGATAGGCTTGTTGTTACAGAAATGGCTAGTTTATACTATTATGCAAAAGGAAAAAGTTGAGGTTTGATGCTGTTATCTTATTTTACTGCACCAAAGGGAGTCAAAGTCAACACCTTTTCTTTCTCTCCCTCCCCTTTCTTTACACTTTTCTCTTCCCTTCTCTCCTACTATTTTCTTTTCTAATTTTGTACTTTATATTATAAACTAATAAGAATATTTTTAAAAAGACTTCGTGCTCCATGGCCATGGTTCGTGACCACAAAAGGTGTTTTGTGATGTGGAAAAGGTTGAGAACCACTGTGCTAGTGAAAATATTAAAGGACTCTGGATTTGGGGGTTCTGCAGTGTAGGGCACAAGGCAACAGTGGAAAGCCGGGGTGAAAAACGCCAGAGTTCAGCTGCTTTGATACGGAGTCCTCAACTTATGACCAGTCATTTAGTGACCATTCAAGTTACAACGGGGCTACTTATGACCCAGATTCAAAGTTCCAATAGTTGCCTCCTTCCTGAAGTCACATGACCAAATTTCATGCACTCAACAACATGGCCATATATATGACTGTTTGCAGCATCCTACGGTCATGGGACTACATGATTTGGCATTTACTTCCATTTTTGGTGAAACTACGCTCCTAGCAAATCACTGGCTCACTTAAAAATGGCAGTGTTCACTTAACAACAATGACTGCTTTACTATTGTAGTGGCTGTTGAATAATCGCTGTGAAAAAGATGGTAAATTTTACAACCATCAGGACTTATGACTGTGATGGGCAGGCTTCTTTACAGTCATATGTCGAGGAATTTAGTCCTTCGAATTCTTGTTAAAAAGGTTCACATAACAGGGATCAGAAAAAACCCTTTCTTGCCTAAGACCTGAGCATGTTAACTTGTATCAGTGATCTAGCTACTAGGATCATTAGGTATCTCAATGGCTTAGTGGCAGGACACACGCTTTGCATGCTGATCTTCATCAATTTAAACTAACAGAAGCAATCCAACACTATACTCGTAAAAGCGCCTCCGTTCCTGAATTCAGGCATTCTCCTGACTTTGGATGGGCCTTCAACTTCCAGAATCTCATTTGCTAGCACGGCTGTGGCTGGGATTTTTGTGAGTTGAAGTCCATTCATTTTTTTCCCATTAAAGCACAAAGTCCCCAAGTGGTTTCCAAGTGAAGTGGAAATAAAGTTAACTGTATTCTTTTCTTTGATTAAGATAGTCAATTTAGCCGTCTCTGTTAATTCCAAAAATGAAAATTTGACTTTGGGTTTTGCTGACTAGATAGGACTGTTGTTACATAAATGGTTAGTACCTACTGTTATGTAAAAGTAAAAAGCTGAGGCTGTGTGTAATTATTCTACCGCTCTAAAAAGTATCAGATGTCGATGCTTTTCTTTCTTTCCTCTCCTTTCCTCTGTACCTTTTCCTCTTCCTTCCCTGAGGGGTGAGGTGAGGCAAGGCAAGGCAGGGCGGGGGTGCCATTGTCGCAGGGCAAGGTGAGGCAAAGGCCAGGGAGGCTGCTGCCTGACACCATCAGCCCCCCGCACACAGAGGCCAGTGAGCGCATGGTGGCTGACAGTGTCTATCAGCAGCCTCAGCCTGCCGGCCCATCGATCAGTGCACTCTGGGGCTCCGCAGCCCGCCCCCAGCAGTTCAGAGAAGCCGCCTCTGAGCTGGCTGGCCAGCCAACAGCTGAGGAGGCGATGCAGTGGGTCTTGCCCGGGAAAAGGAGAGCATGTGAGGCCAGGAGGGATGGGAGGGGGGGGGAGGGAAACCAGCCATGCTGGGATGCATCCAGCGACGTGGGACCACGGCGAGTTAGCAGGTGGCTGGTTGAAGAGGGACAGTTGCCATCTCCAGGGCATGGTGCACGTGCCCACAGAGAGGGCACTGAGTGCTGCCTCTGGCACACGTGCCATAGGTTCGCCATCACTGTTGTAAGTCAAGAACTACCTGTAAAAAAACCCTTCCTGGGGTTACATAAGGATGGGGACCTCTTAAGAACTTGTATACAAGAAGGAATGGAGCTGGTGTATGTTTGCTGGCCTACCTGTCTTGACATCCCCATCTTTTCCCCTCCCTACAAAGCCACTATACGGGGAGGGGGGAGAGATTCTTACCAAGCAAGCTGTCATTCATCTCCTGAGCCCACACCAGACGGGGGATTCCTTTGAGTGCTAGAACATCTTCTTTCTCCTCTCCGCTCCCACTGTCGGTCTCCATTGGGAGAAAATCTCCAGGGACAGAGGGGATGTATCCTTCCTGGTCCATCTTGGCTTCCACCTCTCTTTCGGTGGGATAGATGGAAGGTTGTGAGCTTGGAACCGCAAGTGGGTTGTCAAAGGCAGATGGCTGTGGAAGGTGTATAAGCTCTGAGGTGCTGTGGAGTGTGAATGGAGTCCTCGCCTCAGGCAAACTCAGGGCTGTGGTCTCTGTTCCTTTCTTGGTCTCATCTAGAAGGGATTGAGCAGGAGAAAAGAAGATGGTGGGATTTTGAGCGGGAGGTCTTGCAGTGGCACCATCTGGCCAATGGGAGCCACCGTTGTCTTCCTCTGGGCTTTCATGGTGACTTTGCTCTATCATGCTGGATTCAGGGTGGTTCTCCATGCTTTGAGTAGCCACTTCCCAGCTTCCTTGTGCCTCAGAAAGATCCAGGACTTCAGTGAAAGTGGAACCATCTGGCAGCCCTAGGATTCCTTTGTTTGATCTGGTGGTCTCCATATTATCTTGGTTGCGGTCAGGCACCAACCACGCCTCAGTTTTCTCAGGGAGGAATTGAGCTTCCTCCAAATACACATTTCCTGGTGTTGGGGAGACGATGTCTTTTGGGGAGAGCGTCACAGCTTCATGTCCCCTCAGCTCGGATGCTTCTTCTGAATGTTGGCTGCTCTGTTTCAAGACAGTGTCCTTTCCTGCGATATTGAGGAGGCTTATTGTCTCCTCTTGGTTAACAAAATGTAGAGTTTCTGGCTCCGTTTCTCCATCTGCATTCTCTGGCAAGTTTTGGTGGTCCTCAAAAGCAGGTCCCGGAAGCTCTTCGCCAAAGCTCATTACCTTGATGTGACTTTCTCGGGAGCTGTAATCATATTCCCCACTTGCCTCATCAACGTGTGGTTTGTTCCTCTGGTGTTCAGAGGATAGAAGGGATTCTGCTGGGGTAACCACCTGTCCATAGCCAGAAAAATCATCTTCATGGTCTCCAGCTTGGGTCATCCCTTGAAGATAGTCATCTTGCCTGCTGGTCCCCATGGAAGCATCTTCAGGATCGTATCCTGTAGTCACAGCAATTTTCTGCAGATCAAGTAGAACATTAGCTGAGACCGGCGATAATATGGGAATGTGCTCATTGTGCACATCCTTCTCCTGGCTTCTTGGCCCAGAAACGGTCCAATATTCTTGGTTGGTTCTTTCAGCACTTGTGTCTTCCAAAGAATGAGGTGTTGATGCAGGAGAAAAGGTGATTTCCTTATGGCCTCGATTCTCAAGTAAGGGTAACCCTGGGAAGATATTCACAGGATTAAAACATAGGCTTATATTAGGAATATACAATGCTTCCAATTTAATTCCCTAAAATGTTTCAGAACATGCAGGGATGTGAATACAACATCTGTCTCTAATTTCTTAAAGTAGCCCTGTCTTTTCCTGGGATCACACACCCAGGACAGCTTCAAATCTTAGGACAAAATTCCAGCTGCTTTAAAGAGTTGCAGACAGACGCTGGGTTCATGTCCCCATCTACTCCAAAGCACATTTTGAAACTGAATCCAAATCCACCCATGATACATACAAGTGTGCTCATATCCAGTATATAGACAGAGTGAAACCTCCTTTTAATGAACTGCAGGTGATCCTCGTTTAGTGACCATAATTGGGACTAGCAACTTGGCCATTAAGCAAAGAGGCTGTTCAGTGAAACTGCAACTGTGCTTACGATCTTACTTCAGCTTTGCTCTGCTTTACAATCTGTAAACCTGCAAAGATCGTAAATGTAAAGATGGGTCATAAAGTGACTTTTTCATCACCGTCATAACTGTGAATGAAGCAGTTAATAAATAAGGACGGCTGGTACATAATTGTGAGGTGGTATCTCTAACTTGTAGAGCGTGGTGACCTAGCAGTTAAGACGCTGGATTTGTCAACCAGAAGGTTGATAGTTCAAGACCCAGATATCCGATGACGGAACGAGCTTCCATTATTTGCCCCAGTTCCTGCCAACTTAGTAGTTCAAAAACATGCAAATATAAGAAGATAAATAGGTGCCACTTCAGTGGGAAGGCAACAGTGTTCCGTGTGCTTTTGGCATATAGTCATGCTGGGCGCGTGACCATGGAAGTGTCTTCAGCCAACTCTGGTTCTTCAGCTGTGAATCTGAGATGAACACTACCCCTTAGAGTTGGACATGACTGGACAGGGGAAACTTTTATCTTTTTATTGCTAACTTAGAAAGGTCTGTGAAATTAAAGACAAGGGCGCCATGGTATAACGATGCTGTCAAACCTTCAAACACTCTGAATACAGCCACGTTTCTTCTTTTTCGGTTGCCACAGCAATGGGGGGGGGGAGATGCATTCTTATAGTTTAGTCAAAACAATAACTTTCTTGTGGGAACCAAGGTCAAGCAGCCTTAATGTTTGGCAGGCTACCCTTAGGAAGCCCGCCAAAGGTGTTAATTGGGGATTGTGATTTACGACACACTAAGGGGTGAGGAGTTCAACTTTTACTTTGTAACCTTTGGGGGGGGGGGCAACTTTCAGCCTTGGTTTCATCTTTGTTCGTGCTGATATTATGTAGCCATTAAAAGTGTTCTTTGAGGAAAGCAATTGCCTCAGAGTTCTTATTTCTACTGGTCTCATCTATCGGAAGCATGACAGATGCTGCCAGCATGCAAATAAAGTATACCATGTAGAAATTTAGTCCATGGCATGCGAAGTTCATTGCCTTAAAGCTGGGTGGGCAACTATGGCAAATTTATGACTTGTGGACTTCAACTCCCAGAATTCCTGAGCCAGCATGGTCGCCCACCCCTGCCCTAAAGTCTGTTAAATCAAGATTTCAGATTCTGTGCCACCTTCTATTAAAGTTTCTTCCCTTCTCCTCTTGCTCACTCTCCCATGGCCAGCCCATCTGTCTGGGTGTTAATAAGTACAGGAAATTGGCACCTCTCCATCTGGGCCTCAGAGAATGCCTGCGTGGAAGGGCAGCATCACAGGCATTTGGCAACGGTTACAATGCCAAGGAGCATGTGGGAAGGGTTTCTGTGGCAACTGCCTCCTTATTAGCTGCATGGCCTTGCAGCTATGGTCCTTTGAGCTAATGGGGTTCAGCAGGGGGATTCCTAGATGTCTAAGGCTCTTAATCTCCCTGGGAGGGTTAGGGGCTGGGGTTGAGAATGGGGGGAGACAAGGAGGGCTGGGGTAAGCAGAGCAAGATGAACAGTCTGATAGAGGAAAGAAGGAACAACCTTGAATGTTGGGAGTTTGTAGGGACAATTCTCTCTCTCTCTCTCTCTCTCTCTCTCTCTCTCTGTGTGTGTGTGAGTGTGTGTGTGAGAGAGAGAGACAGAGAGAAAGAGAACGAGAAGAGAGAGAGAAGAGAGACAGAGACAGAGAGAAAGAGAAGAGAGAGACAGAGAGAAAGAGAAAGAAGAGAGAGAGAGGAGAGAGAGAGACAGAGAGAAAGAGAAAGAGAAGAGAGAGAGAGGAGAGAGAGACAGAGAGAAAGAGAGAAAGAGAAAAAGAGAAGAGAGAGAGAAGAGAGAGAGAAACAGAGAGAGAGAAAGAAGAGAGAAAGAGAGAAGAGAGAGAGAAAGAGAAAGAGAAAGAAGAGAGAAAGAGAAAGAGAGAGAAGAGAGAGAGACAAAGAGAGACAGAGAGAAAGAGGAGAGAAAGAGAAAGAGAAGAGAGAGAGAGACAAAGAGAGACAGAGAGAAAGAGGAGAGAAAGAGAAAGAGAAGAGAGAGAGAGAGAGACAGAGAAAGAGAAAGAGAAGAGAAAGAGAGAGAGAGAGAGAGAGAGAATGTATAGGAGAAAGGGGGGACAGTTTCTATAGCAATTAAAGAATTGGCTTTCAGTAGTTATATATCTACCTATTAATTGCTCTCTAATTCCTTCTCTTTACCTGTCTGTGTCTATGTCTATGACCAGTTTGCCTATCCAGTTACCTTTCTATGGTTGTCTACCTCTCATGCTTTTTCCTTTCCTTTCCTCCTTCCTTTCCTTTCCTTCCTTCCTTTCCTCCCTCCTTCCCTTCTACCATCTCTCTTTTCCTCCCTTTCTTTCAGTCCCATGAACAATGTATTCCCCTCAGTCCGGAATACTTAGTCAGTTTCAGCACATGCTTTTTGTTTAAAATTCAGAAAGACCTGTCTTTCTCTAGTAGACGAGGAAAAAAAAGCCTTTCTTTGGCAGGATTACTGGATGGGTCTTTTGTTAAGAGAAGACCGTGTCAAAGCACAGTGAGGAGGGCTTTTTCTACAGAAGGACTGTGACTCTGAAATGCCTTCCAAGGTGCCCGATAACAAAACTGTCTCCTTTTACACACCAGCGTGAAAAGCAGCTACGGGCATTATCATTGGCTTTGCCCTCCGTTCCAGCAAGCAAAAATTTGTCTTTATCCATTTCATTTGGCGATTTATACTTTATTATTTCATATTATTCATGGCACCTGATCCTTATACACTAGTCTGAGCGCCCACTGGAATGAGGGATGAAGCATAAGCAACCATTAATACATCACTTCATGGTTCCGACAGATGAAACTCTTCAAAAGAACTTTGAGGCATTGTTTACCTTAAAGGATCTTTTATTCGAGTAGCATAATATCGACACTGCAAAATTGAAGCCAGAAACTGAATTCCCCTCCCCTGGGCACGTAGTATCAAAGCACAATTCCCTCCTCCAATTAACTGTCATAAATCACATTCCCCAATTAGCTTGAAGCAGGGGCTTCCTCTCCAGCTCTCCAGCCCAGCAATTTTTTATCAGCTCTGGGCTCAATAACCTTGATTCTCAGCTAAGTTTAGTGTTGTTATGTCTAGCTGGACTCTCATTCACATCCCCCCCTCTGAGCATCATCTAACTCTAAAAGCGAAAGGGAAAAGGGAAAAGATGGCTACATTTCCATCTGTTGTCAATGCAAAAACATCTGATGTTAGCAGCGTTGACACCTGGACCACTTTTCCAAGAATCCAAATTAAAGCCGTCCCTCTTAATGTGGGTGTGATAAACCTAATATTCTTATTGGTATCATTAAGATATCAGAGCCTCCTCCCTCCGCTTTTTCTGGGTTTTGATTGAATGGAATTGATAACAAGAAAGCTGGAGAAAAGTACAGGCAGTCCTCGAGTTACGCCCTCATTGGAGCCTGCCCATTACATAAGTCGTAAGTTATAAGTCGTAATTGTCGTAAAACAGGTCATGTAACCAGCTCAATTTTATGTGTTTTGCAATGGTCGTTAAGCGAATGCCGTTGCTTGCTATGGCAGGGATTTGTTCAAAACTAGAAGTAAATGTAGATTTTCAGCAAAAACATTACCAATTGTGGCCATGTGACCACAGGGTGCTGCAAATGGCCCTAAATGCAGCTGTGTTGCTAAGCACAACATGACTAGGGAGGACTATCAGAACTTTGGTTCTGGGTCATAAGTCCGTTTTTAAGGTAGGCCATAATTTCGAATAGTTGCTAAGTGGCCGGTCCTAACTTGAGGACTACCTGTATGCCAAGCAGGTTAACTTTCTAGAATTCCGTTCTTCCTATCCTGATTTCTGGTCCTTTTTTGGTCTTTTTCTCCCTCCCCTCCTCTGCCAGCTCTGGCAGCTGCCACCCCCACAGCTCAGCACTGCACCAGATGCTTTTTCTTAATTTGAGCATCGGCAACTGACTCACCCAAACCTCTGTGCAGCCGTAAGTGTCAAAATTGTGCACACTTGCAAAATAGCTCTGCCTTCAGAGACTGCCGCTCTCTCATCCCTCTCTTAATTGGTGTTAACACTTTTTCAGCCGAAATTATGCCTGAGTGCATTACAGCAGGTTGCAAACATGTGCTAATTGGCACCAATGGCTACTTAGCTCTTTCAGGAGGCAAGAGTTTTAAAGCCACGCAGGAAAAAGGATTTTGGAGCAGAGGGAAAGAGAGTTAAAATCCACCCAGAATCAGCAGCCCAAAAGGCAGAGTGGGGGGTTTGAAATTGGAAGGCTGAGAGAATTCCATCTGATATCCCTCAGACATAAACACAGGGATCTTCCTAAGAAATATAACCCATCATATATACATTATAGATCAGTGATGGCGAACCTTTTAGAGACCGAGTGCCCAAAAACTGCTCACCACCCCCGCTCCGCATCCTGCCCTGCCTGATCCGCCCCCACCCGCCCCCTGCCCCACCCATCCGCAGGGCCACGCACCGCCTCCATGGCCCACCACAGATCACCCAGGCAGCCCTGCAGTGCCATGGCAGCCACACTCTCCACCCACACCCCACAGCATCATCTGCACGCTATGGGGCGTGAGGGCGGAATCTTGTCCCTGCTGCCCAGCTATTTCCTTGGCTGCTCTGCTCTGTGCAGGCCATGCCCAGAGCCAACTCTCCTCCAGGGGGGGCTGCTGATGAGGAAGGGGCCACAGGGGGAGGCGGGGCTGGGGCAACGGTGCGCGTGCCCACAGAGAGGGCTCCGAGTGCCGCCTCTGGCACGCGTGCCATAGGTTCGCCACCACTGTTAAAGATGCTATAAACTACATTTCTGTCCTGTTTCCTATATCGAATCACCCAGAGTCGCTCGATAATGAGACGGGCAGCATATAAATAAATAACTAAATAGCCATGGCACTTAGACTGATCTCAGAGGTGCTTTTTTCCCCCCAAAAGGCAACTGTTTTTCCTTGAGGAAGAAAAAGACATTTCGCTTCCCATCCAGGAAGCTTCATCAGTTCAGGGATGAGAAGCGAAACGTCTTCCTTCTTCCTCAAGGAAAAACAAAGTCCAGTTGCCTTTTGAAGAAAACACCTTTGAGACAACCGTAGAATAGAATGGAATGGAACAGAGCTGGCAGATAGAATCACGACCTGGATGACGGAGAATCTCCATAGACCAAAGGTCCCCAACCTTTTGGGCACCAGGGACTGGTTCCCTGAAGAGAGGTTTTTCCGTGGACCGGAGGGTGTGTGATTTTGTGTGCTTCCTGCATCCCGCGGATGGGGCATTGTTTGTTTGTATGGAGCAGTTGCTGGCATGTCGCAGCCCGGTACTGGTCCACGGACCGGGGGTTGGGGACCCCTGCCATAGACACTTAGACTTATATACCACTTCATAGTGCTCTATGGCCCTCTCTAAGCAGTTTAGAGAGTCAGCCTATTGCCCCCCCAACAATCTGGGTCCTCATTTTATCAATCTCGGAACGATGGAAGGCTGAGTCAATCTTGAGCCGGTCAGGATCGAACTCCTGACAGTGAGCAGAGCTTCAGTCTGCAATCCTGCATTCTAAGCACTGTACCACCACAGCTCGCGTTAAATGTTCAGACTGCACAAGTGACAGAGGACACTGCTTGAAAATCTTCTCGACAACCCTGTGAGGTAAAGCAGTCGAGAGATAAGGTTTGCATAGAGCTTTAGGGCCAAATGGGGATTTGAACCCAGCCAAATGAAGAAAGCAGTGATTATTTCAGAGAGGGCTCTGGGGTAAAAAATCTGAACACCGCTATCCCAGATTGCTTTCTGCAACAGGGACTAATGTAAGCAATTTATTAGCATATGGAGAGTGAGTCAATTCTTCCACACCTACCCTGGCACTCCCCATGTGTTCTTTTAACTTTAGCAATTAATGTATGTGAAAAATGTTATAAAGAAAAGAAAATTCTGCTAGTTTTCCCCCCTGTTTTTAAATTAAATTTGTTGGCCATGGGCAATGCACCAAAGAAGAGGCACCAAGCTACCCACCACTTATCTGGAGATGAGATAGGACAGTGATGGCAAACCTTTTAGAGACCGAGCGCCCAAAAACTGCCCACCCCTGCCTCATGCCCCCTGCACCACCCCCACTCCACTCCACCCCATCCCGTCCCCACCCCCACCGACCTGCAGAGCCACCCACCACCTCCACGGCACGACGCAGATCGCCCAGGCGGCCCAGCAGCGCCATGGCGGGCACGCCCTCCACCTGTGCCCAGCAGAATCATCTGTTGGCGATGGGGCACAAGAGCAGAGTCTTGTCCCCACTGTCCGGCTGCCATGTCCTTGGCTGCGCTGTTCCAGGTGGGCCGTGCCTGGGGGCGACTCTCCTCTGGGGGGGGGTTGCTGGTGTGGAGGGGGCCACGGGGGGAGGTAGGGCTAGGGCAATGGCACGTGTGCCCACAGAGAGGGATCCAAGTGCCGCCTCTGGCACTTGTGCCATAGGTTCACCACCACTGAGATAGGACATAAAACTGAAATGTAGCACTTGATCAAAACGGACATCATACTTATCCAATATACTGTACCCCTTCTGTGGCTACAACCAGAATTATAGGTAATCCTTGACTTATAACCCATTCATTTAGTGACCATTTGAAGATACAATGGCATGGGAAAAAATGATTTATGACCAGTCCTCATACATATGACTGTCACAGGGTATCCATGTGATTGTGATTTGGGCACTTGGCACACAGCTCACACTTACAATCATTGCAGCATCCTGCAATCATGTGATCACCGAGATCACACTGAGGGCTTCTGTACCAGAGACAAATTCCTTGTATGTCTAATTAGAGTTGGTCAAATAAATTATTCAGTTCAATTCACCATCGGTGACCTCCTCAACAGGCTTCCAACAAGCAAAGTCAACGGGGAAGCTAGCAGGGAAGGTTGCAAGTCATGGTCCTGTGATGACCATGGCAAAAAGGTTCATAAAATGAGGTTCAGTTACATTAGACATGTCAAACTCAAGGCCTATGGGCCAGATCCGGCCCGTGTTGTGTTTAGATCTGGCCCACAAGCAGACTAGGAGGAGGAGGAGGTGATTGAGTAGTTACCTCCTTGCTCTTTGGGTGTCTTGCAGGGACAGCAGCCCTAGCAGAGGACGGGCAGTGGGAGCCTCTCCAACAGGTGAAGCTACGAGGCAGCAGTGACCGCAGGGGCGGGGGGGGGGGGCAGGCATAGCTAAAGTGTCTGAGGGAAGGAAAGAGAACAGACATAAGGCACTTAGGTTTCTTCAGTTCTCACCCCTCCCTGCCTCACCGCCTTTCCCTCCCCCTTTTCCTATCATCTGTGCTGCCCTTTCCCACAAGTAACCACTTGGCTTGCAGACTTTTCCCCAAAGATGTGAGGAAATGCGAGATGGGAGGCTCAACGCCGGGGGACAATATGATAGTCTTGCAGGCAACTGGCCCTTTGAGGACAAGCATAATGCTGATGCAGCCCTCAATGAAATTTGAGTTAGACACCCCTGAGTTACATGATACCTCACTTAACATCCACACCGCTTAATGATGAATTTTCTGGTCCCAGTTGTGGTTATAAGTCGAGGGCTTCCTCTCGTGTACCAAGTCTAGCTACTGTAATATTGTCCCGCAATAATCCTGATTTGGTATCCCTTCACAGTAATGTGGGATATGAATAGCAATGGCACTTAGACTTATATACCGCTTCACAGTGCTTTACAACCCTCTCTAAGCAGTTTATAGAGTCAGCGTATTGCCCCCAACCATCTGGGTCCTCATTTTACCGATCTTGGAAAGATGGAAGGCTGAGTCAACCTTGAGTCGGTCAGAATCGAACTCCTGGAAGTCGGCAGAAATAGCCTGCAATACTGCATTCTAACCACTGCGCCACCATGGCTCTGAAAATGGGATCTAAGCTCAGCCACTCCCATTAGGAAAGATCCCTTTAGTCTTAAGGTGCTTCCACAATCTGCAGGCTCCCTACACTTGATGGAAGGATGTTTCAGCAGAAACCAAGTTCAAAATCAACTTACTCTTTCCATCAACTTCGTTGGACAGCGAGTAGCTTACACCTCCCTCAAGAGCGGAAGCAGAGCTCAGGACCACACCAGCTGAAGACTCAATGGCATTGTCTACCATTTCATGCCCTGCTAAGTCCAAGACAGTCAACGCAGTGGGTAGCATGGTGCTACGTTCTGGGTTCCCACCAACAGCCAGCTCTTCTTTCCACTGTTCCTGGAAGTACTGCCCATTCAGTCCAGTGTAAACATTCTTCTCAGGGATGCCAGCCAAAGATGGTGTTGCCCCAGTGGCAGTGGGGGGATCTTTTGGAGAAGTGGGGGAAGGAATTAGGAAGGGAATTGTTGGATGCTCCTTTAGGATTTGAATTTGAGAGGGTTGAGGAGAAGCAGTATCCTGTGGGAATAAACCCTCTGTATTTCCCTGCAACCATGTTGAGGTGACCAAATGAGGGATCGCTTCTGATGAGATGCCATCTTCAGGGTCCCTTTCCAAAGACATTTTGCCCATCACTGAAACCACACTCGGTGACTCTTCAGTGACGTTCATCTGATCAGCATCATCAACTACAGCGAACAGTTTGCCATCGTGAAGAACACCTACGGAGGGTTCTGTGGAAGCTCCTCTAACTTCCCCATTTAGAAAAGAGATATTGGGTAGCATGGACCTCTCTTCCATGCTTTCTCTTCCAACTGGGAAAGTTGTTACCATCTGGAGCTGCTCATCTTCTTCCAGTAATGGCACTGCCACTTTGTGTAAAGGACCATAAAAATCCTTGGCTGATTCTTTGGAGTCTGCTGACATGATAGCTTCCTCATTTTCCCTGGGGAATAGCTCATTCTGGCTCAGAAAGGACAGATCAGGATCGTGCTCCACCAAGATGTTCTCAATTCCTGATTCGTGGCTTCCCTCAGAATATTGGTCCATGGGTTGCTGGACATTTCCTTCTACAAAGGGTGCACTGTCGGGTATCTTGGCCAACTGATGCCCTGCAAAGGGATAAAAATAGAAATTGTTAACTTGGCTCAGGGTAGAGTAGATTCAGGAAAAACTCAAAACCTGAAGAAAAGCCTTCCAAACTGAGACTCTGGAAAGAGTGCAGAAAACAGCAACAAAGATGATTAGGGGACTGGAGGCTAAAACATATGAGGAATGTTTGCGAGAATTGGGTATGTCTAGATCAGTGGTTCTCAACTTGTGGGTCGGGATCCCATTTGGGGTCAAATGACCATTTCACGGGGGTCGCCAAACCACACTGTCCGCCATTTTTTTCCCTTTTCCCTAGCTGTCCTACTCCCTCTTATTGGTGGCCACACCCACTTGGGGGTCACCACAACATGGGAAACTGTATTATGGGGTCACGGCATTAGAAAGGTTGAGAACCACTGGTCTAGATTAATGAAAGAAGGACTAGGGCTGACATGATAGCAGTCTTCCAATATCTGAGGGGCTGCCACAAGGAATAGGAGGTCAAACCTTTTCTCCAAAGCAACTGGAGGCAGGACAAGAAACAATGGGTGGAAACTAATCAAGAAGAGAACCAACCTAGAATTAAGAAAAAATTTCCTGACAGTGAGAACAATTAATCAGTAGAATGACGTCTCCAAACGTTGTGGGTGCTCCACCAGCAGAGGTTTCCAAGAAGAGATTGCACAACCATTTGTCTGAAATAGTATAGGGCAGTGATGGTGAACCTTTTAGAGACCGAGTGCCCAAAAACTGGCCCCGCCCCTGCTCTACCCCCTGCCCCGCCCCCACTCTGCCCCCACCCCGCCTGCCCGTAGGGCCACTCATCGCCTTCAGGGCCCACCGCAGATCACCCAGCAGCGCCATGGCAGCCATGCCCTCTGCCTGCGCCCCGCAGCATCAACTGTACGCAATGGGGTGTGAGGGCAGAGTCTTGTCTACGCTGCCTGGCTGCCATGTCCTTGGCTGCACTGCTCCGCGTGGGCCACGCTTGGAGGTGACTCTTCTCCAGGAGGGCTGCTGGAGAGGAGGGGGGTCATGGGGGGAGGCAAACTGGGGCAACGGTACGTGTGCCCACAGAGAGGGTTCCGAGTGCCGCCTCTGGCACCCGTGCCATAGGTTCGCTGCCACTGGTATAGGGTTTCCTGCTTGAGCAGAGGGTTGGACTGGAAGACCTCCAAAGTCCCTTCCAATTCTGTTATTCTGTTAAATGTACTGGACTGCAACTCCCAGAACCTTTAGTCATGGCCGTCCTGACTGAGGTATTCTGGGAGTTGAAGTCCAGTGCACCTGAGGTAAAGAATTTCCAAGGGCTGTTCTAGAAAAATTAAAAGAGAGAAAAGGTAGATTAAAAAACAAATCAGCCAGCGAGGCATGCAAAGCTTGGATTGAAAGCATTTATATTCAAAATAGGAAAGGATAAGAAGGGAGGGGAGAAACATTCACTCATGCAGCTCAGACAGATGCGTTCAGGCAATGCCTCTGGCATACTAATAGGCCTCCCTTGAAGCACAGAATGTGGGGGTGCCTGTGAGCCTTAAGAGGGAGTGCAGAGAAGGCCGGTGCAAGTATAATTAACTTAGCAACGATCTTCATCATTATTCTAATCTACATTGGACAAGCTGCCGGAATCTTGGTCCTATATATGCTGAAAGTAAAGCTTTGAACCTGAATCAGTACAGGTAGTCCTCGACTTATGACGGTCACTTAGCGAACAGTTGAACTTATGACAGGCCTCCCCAGGGCTACTTTACAACCCAGATTCCATGTTCCAATGGCTCTCTCCCCCTGGGATCACGTGACCACATTTCGGGCACTTGACAACCAGCCTGCATTTATGGCAGTTTGCAGTGTCCCACAGTCACGCTTACGTTTTTTGCAGAAACGGGCATTCTGATTTCCGCCCAAAAACAAAAGAAAATGGACGCTTAAAGTGTCAAATTTAGCAGAAATGGCGAAAATTTCTGCTTACTTGAAGGATCATTCACAAGAAAGATACATTTCGGTCTGGAGAAGATGGATAGTGTAAGGACCCACCCCACTTTGCATCTTAAGAAGACAGAACTCTTGGAATAATTCTTCCAACAGGAATCCTTTATTAAGAGAAAATGGTTGCAGGCATGCTCGACAGGACTTGGGGTCCAAGCTCTCCCATTCAAGGTTTTAAGGGGTTCCCCAGTAGTCCCACCCAATCAACCCCCCTTCCAGTGATAGTTTCAAGTATCACAATTCAATCCCCTTTCTTCTTCCGTCTGGATGGAGACTTCAGATAACTACATGAAAGGCAATTACTCTTCTTTGATATGTTAACGCTTAGAGGCCACAATAAACACACATTCAGTCCTTTGAAGTGTGCTGAAGGAATTGAGGGCCATAAAGCCCCTTTGCTCTCCCCCTTTTCTCCCTCTTATGGCAGAATCCAGAGAAGGCAGAATTGGGAGTTTCTATGTTTGATAATTAAAGATGAAATATAATTGGATTCTGACATCCGGCCCCTCTTAACAATAAGAGAGATCCACCTGAAAGAAAACACAAGTAAAAAATGTAGTTAGGCTTGTTAGGATACTCTGTGTGAAACTTCTTCAATAGCTTCGGGGCTCTGACGTGACGTTTATGGACCCACTCATTTTGTGAGGCCGGGAGGTGTTTCCAGGCAACTAGGTCCTGAGTTGTTCCACGATATCTCCTAGAGTCAAGGATCTCTTTTATTTCGAAGTGTTGTTCCCCCTCCACCATGATTGGAGGTGGTGGGGGGGGGATTTTTGGCCGTAGAGGTGACTGATGCTCTCTTTTCAGCAAGCTGCAATGAAAAATTGGGTGTATTTGCCTTAGGTTTTTGGGTAATTCTAATTCTACTGTTACTGGATTTATGATTCTTTTAATTGGAAAAGGTCCTATATATTTTGGTCCAAGTTTTTTACAGGGCTGTATGGACTTTAGGTATTTTGTAGATAAGTACACCATTTCTCCTATAATGAATGGTGTAGGCTCAACCCTTTTTTTATCGGCTTGTGCTTTGTATGCCCGCCTAGCTTCATCTAGTGATTTTCTGATTCTATTGAGCCCGTGGTTTTGTAGGTTGTTTCATCCATTCTTTCAGTGAAGGGATCGTTGGTTCGTTTGGGGTTAACTCTTGCATAGGGTTGAAACTTTGACCGTTGGCTATTTGAAAAGGAGTGTAGCCTGTGCTGGAGTGGACTGCATAATTGTAGGCAACTTCTGCAAAAAGAAGTAAGTCCGTCCAATCACTCTGTTGGAAATTTAAAAAACATCTCAAATATTGCTCAAGTACCGAATGGCACCGTTCCGTTTGTCCATCCCCTTGTGGATGATGGCTAGATGTCAGTCCCTGAGTGGTCCCTAAGAGGGATAAAAAATCCTCCCAAAATGCAGACGTAAATTGCACTCCCCTATCAGAGATGATGCGTTGGGGTGCCCCGTGCAATCTGTAAATGTGCTGGATGAAAAGTTTTGGTTTTTTTTTTTTATTTTGTTTGGTTTTTTGCTGAAGGCCTTTGCAGTGGAATTTTTTGGCAAGGGATAAAGTGCACCTGTTTGGAAAATAGTCCGTGACTGTCCAGATAACAGGATTCCCATTGCTTTCAGGCAATTCCACTATAAAATCCATGGCTATTTCCCTCCCGGGGGCTGAGGGACTTGCCACTGGTTGTAACAGCCCTGGCGATTTCCCTTGCAACCTCTTTGCTGATGCACAGGTTGGGCAGCTGGCAACATAACTTTCTATGTCCTTTTTTATTGATGGCCACCAAAATTGCCGCTTAATTAAGTGTAAAGTTTTTACAAATCCAAAATGCCCTGCTGATTTTGTGTCATGGAAAAGTTGCATGAAAGTTAGTCTTTGAGTTGTTGGTATATATAACTTTTCCCCTACCCAAGGCAATCCGTCTCTCATTGTGCACACATGTTTGTTTTTCTTGAACCAATCATCTGTTTCCAAACTTTTTCTGAATTCAATCCCAGTTTGGCTGTCCAGTTGTGGTTTTATTTTGGCGTGGGTTCTTGTGGTTACTGGTGCTGCCAGTTGTGACTCTGCCATTATTGGTCTAGAGTCTGTGGTTCGTGCGCTGTTATATTGGGGCATGCGAGATAGAGCATCTGCCAGGAAGTTCTTTCTTCCTGGTAATGTTTGAGCTTAAATTGGAATTGGTGAAAATGCTGGGACCAGCGGGCTTGTTTGGGATTGAGTTTCCTGGAAGTTTTCAGGGCTTCTAAATTTTTGTGATCAGTCCATACCTGGAAAGGGATTTTGTTGCCTTCCAGGAACTGTCGCCACGTGAGTAATGCCCAACGTATCCCATAAGCCTCCTTCTCCCATACGGGCCAGCGCTGTTCTGTTTCCGTGAGTTTCTTGGATGTATATGCACAGGGTTGAAATACTGCATCATCATTTTCTTGTAATAGCACAGCCCCCACTGCCACATCACTTGCATCTGCCTGTATTATGAAGGGTTTGTCCATGTCTGGGTGCCTTAGTACTGGTTCGGCAGAAAAAAGTCTCTTTAGTCTCTCAACCGCTGCTTGGCACTCCATTGTCCATGTTAGTGGCTGGCTAGGTTTTACTGAGGATGTTCCCTTCGTTTTTAGTAAGTTAGTGAGGGGCAAAGCTATCTGTGCAAATGAGGGGATGAATTGGCGGTAAAAATTTGCAAAGCCCAGGAAACTTTGTAGTTGCTTTCTTGTGCGGGGTGGTGCCCAATTTAGTACTGCTTTGACCTTC